ACGCGCGGGCCGCACTATCACTAAACTTTGATATCAAGTGTGGGCCACAAAATATCGTCCCATAGGCCGCAATTGGCCCGCGGGCTGCGAGTTTGAGACCCCTGACATAGAGGCTGTTTACATGTCATGGCATAAAGCATAGGCTGGGCAGCAAATCATGCGCTAGGTACATTCCAACCTGCAATGAGAGGTTACTCCAAAACTGACACTATAGATTTACTGTGGGTGACACAATTCAGTTAACCTAACTACTATCACCAGATCAGAGTTGCTGGAGAGATTTAGGCCAATACACATATAAGCTAATAAGTACGAGGGGCGTTCAATGTATTCTCGGTATCAGGTTGATTTGCTATTGATGTGGGTAATTTAATTATTTCATTAGCTAATGACACTACCTGAGGGTATACATGCAAAATTTCAAAGAAGTGTGATCATTAGTTTCCCAGTAATTCTCAGTGAAAGACAACCATGATGACTGACGGGACAATGTTGAAGAAAATCGAGCACCACGCTGTGATTAAGTTCCTTACAAAACAAGGAAAAAGTCAAAAAATCATTCATGAAGAGATAGCGGCCATTTACCAGGAATCTGCACCTTTATTATCTACTGTTCAAAAGTGGTCCAGTGAATTTAAAAGGGGCAGAGAAAGCATTGAAGACGGCCCTTGCTTGGGCAGGCCGGTTACTGCCACTACGAAAGAAAATGTGAAAAAAATTAAGAAACTTGTATTGGAAGATGCCTGAATAAAAATCAAAATGTTAGCAGAGATGACAAACCTATCCGTTGGTACCATATTTATTATTTTTCATGACCATCTTAACCTTTCAAAGGTCTGTGCAAGATGAGTGCTGCGAATGCTCATGGCGCCTCAGAAACAAGTGCGAGTTGAGTGCTGTAGGGAGTTTTTAGAGCTCTGTGGTAAAGATCCATCGAGTATTTTCGACCGGATTGTTACTGGAGATGAAACTTGGGTTCATCACTATGACCCTGAAAGTAAGCAGGAGTCCATGCAGTGGCATAAAAATGTGCTGACTCTTTGAAGAAATTCAAAGTCACTCCATCGGCCGGAAAAATCATGGCCACAGTGTTTTGGGACTCAAAGGGAGTTTTATTGATCGAGTACACAAAAAAAGTGAAACCATAAACGCAGCATCTTACACAACCACTCTGCAAGAAAAAAGGTGGAGAAAACTGACCGCAGGTGTGTTGCTTCTTCACGACAACATGCCCGTTCACACGGCATGTGTTTCGAAAGCTGTTGTGCGAGACTGTGGTTTTGAAGAAATAAACCACCCACCCTATAGTCCAGACATGGCCCCCAGTGACTACCACCTGTTCCTAAATTTAAAAAAAGATCTTTGTGGAAAGCGATTTTCCAACGATGAAGAGCTCAAGACGGCAATTAACACACATTTTTTAGACAAGGAGGAAGGGTATTTTTTACAGGGAATTGAAAAGTTAATTTCTAGATGTAATAAGTGTATTGAAGTTATGGGGGATTACATTGAAAAATACAAATTATTTCAATTTATTATTCCTTTTTCTTCATGCTGATACCGAGAATACATTGAATGCTTCTCGTACATCTGACTCAGGAGAGAACTGTCATCTTGGATGAAGGAAACTGAGCGCTGAGTGATTGTGACTGTGTTCTCTCACTGCAATCTCACTGAGCCTAGTCTCTTCTTTCATTGTCCCCCATTGTGGTGGGGAGGGGGATGCAAAGCCTGCTGAGAAGAGGCCAAAGAAGAGAAGGACAAGGCATTCATTATCTCATTGTAGGCCTGCCTTCTTCATCTCCCTATCCATATACCACCCCTACAATCGTTTCCCTGATCACACATAAATTAACACAATAGGATATCGAAGATAATGGAATTGAAAGATAATAGAAATACTGTATCATGGGGGTTTAGGGGGATATATTGTAAAAGTCAACTTTAACACAAACTACTTCTCCTTCATACATTAATGACTTCAAGGAACGGAAAGTTTTCTCTCATGAGCATACCCTTTTGGGCATCCACTAAATGCAGCTCTCAAGAGATGAGAAGAGAGGGCTCTCAGGTTCAAGCAGTTTAAAGATCAAAACAGTAACATCCACTGTGGAATGTCATAAAGAAAACCACTAATTTAGGGACCCTGAAGGAGCTTCAGATATTACAATTAAGCAGTGGAAGGGGCTAATTAGATCAGAGGTCCTCAAACATTTTCACCAGGGGGCCAGTTGAAGGGTGCCGGTGCTGGGCACAGGCCGGAAAGGTAGTGCTGGCAGTGCGTGCGCGCTGGCAAGGGGGCGGGGGCAATGTGTGCAGGCACGGGTCCGCTGAGGTGGGCACGCGCTGCAAGGTGGGCGCATGAGGCAGCAGCTTGCTCGCTTGGAGATCGTTTTCTCCGAGTGAACAAACCACTGCCTCCCCGCAGGCGGGGCAAGGTGGGCAGCGCGCAAGTGCGCGGCGGGTCCAAATGGGCATGGTGGACCAGATCCGGCCTCCGGGCAGTAGTATGACCACCCGTGGGTTAGGTGAAAGATACACTTCTACTTTTGATGCTTCTTGTATAATTTGTGCAACGGCAATTCATACCATCTCCCCAGTGGTTATAAGCATGACTCTCTGGCTCTGTAAGTTACGTAACAAACATAAGAGGAAGATGCAAAAGTCACTTGTATATCATCTCATTGCTGCTTAGTTGCAAATCTGAAACAATCGTAAGTAAGACAGTCAAGCCCCATCAGAATATCAAGAAAAATTGAGATTCTTGTTAACTATCTAAATTCAGCTTAACAGTCTCAATGAAAAAAAAATCCCCTCTCAATGGTTTAATAAGAATTTGGCATTCTTTAAGAAGCGTTAGTCCTTCAGTTTCTCTTCTGATTTCTCTAATAGAAGCATACTGTGATAAACATCTAAGAAAAAGCAATGATGTTATAACATATGGAGATATGATTAACAAGAAGAAATTAAGCCTTGGCAAAAACCTAAAAGATAAAGGAAAAAAGATAGAATGGCTCTCTATTTTCAATTGGTTTAAAGACTGAAAAGGGAAATTCAAACAAGAATATGTGCCATAAGAGCCCTGACAGAATTTGAAAAGTTGATTTTGCAGCAAAAGGATCACTTATTAGGATGGATTTACAAGTAATTACTACAATATGATACTGAAACTGAACAAGTTAAAATATGGATGCAGAACTTTGAGGAATAAATATCCTTCCACCAATGGGAAACCTTCTGGATGAAAGATATAAAATTTACAGCTTGTCAAGCACCAAGAGAAAATTGGTAAAAGATGTTCTTTCACTGGTATATTACTCCAAAAGATATTGAGAAAATGGAAAAGAATTATAATGGAAAGTGCTAGAAATGGAAGAAAGTGGATAGGACCTTTTTCCATATGTAGTATATGTGCTGTAAGGTTAATAAAAGGGAAAGAAATACATGCTGAAATACAGAGAATTCTGAACATTAATTTTCCTATTAATGTTAAGAATATGCTACTGAATATACTGTTGTACCAGAAACTCTTCCAAGAAACATGGAAGAATTATTTAGATATATAACAGCAGCTAAAGTTATACTTGCAACAAAATGGAAAGCAGAAGACTGCCCAACTAGTGAATATTGGAAAAATAAATTAGCGGAATATGTAGTAATGACAAAATTAACCAGCTATATAAATAGAAGACTAGCCAAAAAATTTAATGATAAATGGAAAGCTTGCTATATACATTTTACTTAACAATTCAGAGTAAAAAAAAAGAATTTATGTAAGGATGACGTTAACTGATACATTTACTAATCAGCTATATATAGACCAGTTAAAGAATTTTATGTTAAATGAAAAGCCTATTATATATTCGTTATTCAGCAATTGAAAGAGTTACTATTAAGTATTATGTATATAATGATCCAATTAATATAATTGATTTATGAATTTAACTTTTCATTATATTTTTAATCTGGTGAAAAAAGGAAAAAATCAATTATTAATTGCTGGTGGGTTTGTGGATATGTTTTATGGAGAATTATTATTTACTTGATACCCATGTTAATACTTGGTTGTTATAAAAAAAAAGCTTTAAGTCAAAACTGTAGTTATAATTATTGACTTTTTGTGTAATTTCCCACACTTAGCGCTACATGTGATTTTTGTGTAGGGTTCCTTAGTATCTTTTTCTTTGTTTTTTTCTTTTACCTATAAAAATAAAAAATGGGGGGATCTCTCAAACTTGTCCAAATTTAATTTGATAGTATTTAATGCTTACATTTCAATTGCAATACTCTGTATTTGAATTTGTATTTCTTTTCTCATATTTATGAACTACCCTTCACCCTCCTTGAGGTGATAGACAAATTCAGATAAAGACAGAAATGAAACTGAAAGCAATGTTACACTTCCAGCTTTCCTATGAGTAGCTTGCATTAACACCACAAATTGCTAGAGGCTTGTAGCCACTGTTCTTGCATATTTAATTAAGAATTAAGTCCCACTGATTTCTAGGAGGCTTACTCCAACATAGGATAGGATCACAGCCTCTGTTTCTTACCTTTACTGCCACCTTGTGCTCTGTCTGGGAGGCAGAAGGGGGAGAAACTACTACAATGCCTTCCCTCATTCTCAATCTGTTGCATCACCTACTATTTTGACTATCTTATAAAGAATCTCACTTATTTGTTCCAGCAGTAGCTATCTTGACAGAAGCTTCTGCCAGAAAGAAAAATAGTCTACTATTTGCAGCAGTGGCAACTGAGTGAAGGATGGGGTGCAAACTCACTTCCATGTAAACATGCTTTGGGTAAAGCTTCAATTAAGTTGCAGTCTCTCATTCCTCAGGTGACATATCAGCTGTTTATGGTGAGGTTTCACCACCACAGAAGAGAATGATACAGAATGCATTACACTGATTATTTTACTCCAGTATCAGAAAGCACTAATTCCAAGAACTTTTCCAAATAAAGCAAATCAAGACATTTTCGAACAGAGAATTTGTTACCTGTGGAGGTTCATAGATGGCAGCAACCTCAGCTCGGATACCCAGAGGGATGTCTTTGTGCTCTGTATACCGCCCATATAAATATCCAAAATGCTGGTTTCCTGTTTTTCTCCAAAAGTCCAAGAAGCGATCAGCAATTGTGTGATTCTCAAACATGATGTTATCCACATGCCTGTATTTCTGCCATTTGAAATAAAAATAATAGTATCAAGTGGCATCCCTGATAAGAATCAAATAACGTTTAAATCAGTCATGAAAGCAGCATGGATTCGGGCTTGCCACCCAACTCAACCGTTTCTCTCAGGCTCTAACCTCTTTCCCCTCACAGCATAAGCCCAGAACCTTTTAGGGTTTATGGATCTTCACAAAAATGGTGGCTGTGAGGGTGTAGCCAATCATAATATACTATTATTTATTTATTTATTTATTTATTTATTTATTTATTTAAAACATTTTTATGCTGCCCCCATCGCAACGAAGTCTCGGGGCGGCTCACAACAGAAACAAAATACATAAATAAATAACAATATAACAATAAAAAATTATTTAAAACCCCCGGTGCATCTCGGCTAAAAATTTAAAAACCTATAAATACAAATAATTTAACAATTAAAATAAGCTTTAAATAAAAAGGTCTTAGCCTGGCGCCGAAAAACAAATAACGATGGCGCCAGGCGGACCTTATAGCAGACCATCTTTCGCAGAAAAAGACAAATACCTAAGTCTAGAAGACAAGTAACTTGCCCATGCATCTGAGTACAAGGACAAGATAGAGAGCAGGGTATGAGCTTTAAAGTCAGTTTTCTGTTCCAACAGGCACATATTTCACAAGAAGGCAAGCTGGTGTGAAAAGTTACTTGTCCAGGCCTATGAGTACAAAGACAAGACAGAGATGGGGTCTTAAACCCTAAAGTATAAGGCCGCTGTTTTTTTCTCTGACAAGACTACCCACTTTAAAAGAAAGATCTCTCTCACACACACACCCCTCTCTTTCCATCCTTCCTGCTCATTTAGCATAAGCAATCCTCCTCAGAAAAAACAGCCACTCTTTCAAAGGGAGAACTAGTTAGAAAAGCCCTCTGTCTGAACCACAACCACAGCAAAGGGAAGGGGGACTTCACTGTGATCCCAACTGAAGGTCTCACACCTGGATTTTGCATTGCAAAAAGAAGCTTCTTTCATTTCAATTGGCCCTCTTGCTGCAGTGCAAATTGCTTGGGGTAGGGTGCAAAGAAGAATCCAATTGAGACCAAAGCATGAGTGGTACGGGAACTTCAACCCACAATGTAGTTATGACTAGCCCTCTTGAATCTGCATCTTCCATAGCAAAAAGCGGTGCCATGCATTTCCATCAGGCGGCTTTTTCTGCCCTGTATGACAGTGTATCCAGATCACGCCAAGAATGGGGACGAAGGGTTAAAGCACACAGGATGCAGCTCTACATCAAGCACTCTGGGCTGCAATTAAACCACATTCACATGTACATCCCTTCCTTCCTGCTGCCCAGTCCAAGATATGGGCATTCTGACAGTCACTCTGAAATCTCTTCCCAGGATACTCTCTGCCACCCCCAACTTACCTTTTCCTTCCTTTTTCTTTATCCTGGAAGGCTGGGCACACTCCAAAGAGAAGCACTGGCCTGCTGGCACCCGCCAGTTTTTATTTTCTGAGAATCTCTCTGGCCCACATGGGACTCAGAGGCATTCTGGGGAAATAAAAATGGAACAAGAAGCCAGTACTTAGCTTTGGAGCACACTCAGCCTCCAATTTAAAATAAATAACAGTAAGTGTGGAAGGGCAAGGGGACTTGGAGGGCATTGAGGGTTATGTCCACAAGGCTTTGCCCAATTTCCTCTTACTATTCTGACTTTCTTTAAATACAGATTTTCCCACCAGCCATAATACCGCACAATCCAAAGCAGTGGACTGGTTGATAAATAACTCTAAGCTATACTTAAGTATTGTATGCATGAGCTTCAGGTATGTATTGCTCCCTCCATCCCTCCAGCCTAGCCACATGGACTCGATTAGAAGCTTTTTAAATTATCCATGGTGTATTGTTATGTTCAACCTGGAACTGTGATTTGTATTAACTGTGGGTTATGCCAAGAGTGGGGATATTGTGGCCCTCCAGGTATTTTGGCCTACAACTACCAGAATCCCTCACCAGTGGGTATGCTAGCTAAGGCTTTATAAGAGTTGTAGGCCAAAACATCTGAATGCCCAGGATTGTAAACTACAGCCTGAAGACAGTTTGCTTACCTAAACAAACCTAAAGTAGACAACATAGTGGCCTTCAGATAATTGGACCACCACTTCCATAGCATCAGGCCACTGGCCATGCTGGCTAGGGCTTATGAAAGGCATTATTACAAACCATCAGGAGGACACCAATTTACTTACTTTTGGCCTGACCAATAGTTAAGATTAACCATTATTTATGCAGATTCAGATAAAATATCTAGGTTCAGACAACAAAACAACCTGTATGCTACATTGAATGTGTGTTGTCACTGAACTGTGGGCTGTTATGTTGTATAAACCCAGACACACTAACAAACCATCATTTGTTAATCACAAACCATCCACTGAGAGAACCCTTTGTTGCTGGACTGTAAAGTGTGGGTTAACAATAAACAAACTATGGTTTGTTAGTACAGCTGGGTTCACACAACAAAACCATCCAGCATTTGACAGCAACCCAAACTCAGTCCATACAGAAACTTGAGTATGAGTTGTTGTGCTATGAGAATCCAATCTATAAGCCAGTCAGCCACCATGGGTTTCCATAGTTTGTGCTATCATGCAAATTGAGGAGGTGGAGCTTCTGAAAGTTAAACTACCCGTGTGTTATGCTAAAACAGACTATAGTTTATGAGATTGTAATTTAACTTGCACACAGTTCCCTCATCCTCAGCCTGGGCTCACACAACATGCCAAGCTATGGCAGCTGTCAGTTCGGCCTTATTCAAAATGGTAGCCAGCATGCACTGGCTCTGAAAGTTAATTAACCCAAGGTATCTCGTTGTGATGGATAAACACAAGAGGGGCATTCACTTCCAGATGGAAATGGCAGAGATAAAAAATGTCTCTGTTGTCTTGAACAGTGGGTCTCCATTAGTGGCTGGTGCTCATCTTACCTGCCTGTTGAGTGTGATTGCACTTGGCTGGCATTTGGTACAAATGCCTTCTGGCCATGGAGGATGTCCTTCGCATCCAGATTTAATCTTGCAGCTAATGTTTTCAAGGGCAACAAACTTCCCCCTAAACACAAAAGATGAACATGTTAAGTATCTTGGTATTTCCAAAATATAGATTAGTAGTTCCGATATTGACAGATATCACACCAGAATATTTCATCAGGCTGAGGGGTTCTAGTGTGTGCCCCAGCTCACAGCACAAAAATTGGGGCCAAAAGTAGGAGAGGAATCTATGAGTCTGCCTGCTTCTCTTTTAAATTGGGGTTAACTGTCTATTTGATACTTCTGCAAAGAGTAACCTGGATATGGCAGTGAAAGAGCCTTAGTTAATGCGGAAGAGCAACATCAACTAAAACTTTACACACATGCGTGCACACGCGCAGAACATGAAGACAGTAAGATTTTTCATGTGATCCATTGTTCACAGACTTTTTTTGAATACATCTTGGCTATGGAACGGAAACAAAAAGCTACATACATATGTGGAAGTGTGTTTAGCACATTCTTGTAATGTAATGTGGGAGAAGAATTATACTTCCAGGCTACTATAATAAAGGAGAGGCTTTTGGTTTTCCAATATACGGAGGAGATGACAACACCTTAGCTTAAATACAGGCTACCCCTTTCACAAAATGCTGCCAACTGCCTTAATCTCTGGGCCCGGGTTTGGGGAGCTGGGAAGGATTAGGCTCTACTGTTCAAGGGAGAAAAGTTACAATTATGCTCTCAATCTTTCCTCCAATCTGCAAAGCTGGCTTCAAAGATACCATCTTACTATTAGTAACTTGAAATGAATTAGTTTTCCCCTATAAATAGTCTTCCCATTTTCACGTTTTATGTTATCATCTATAATGAGATTCCCCTGCAGAAACTGTAAGTTTCTTACTTGTCTGCACCTCCGGTCAGTTTCCTGATGTAGGCATGGAATGACATATGCTTCACAGGAGGTTCCAGATGGTTTAAATAATCCTCATCAAAAGGCTGCCAAAACCCCACATACACAAAGGAAAACCAGGTCAGACACCTGCTTGATAATACATTGATCACTGAACAAATGGATGTTTTAGTCTGAACTTTTTGCTGGCATTCAATGTGGAAACAATTAGGAAGCTTTGTGTTCTTTTTCCACAGCAGTTACTACCTTGACAGTAATAGTGGGCCCTTTTTCTGCTCCTCCTTGCACAGTATGGAGTTGAAGCTTAGCTCAAAACAGCTTTAGAAACCCAACCTGTCTCATGGGTATAATATTCTTCTTTTAACTGGCAGAGCTAAAGGCTAACTAATCAAACATAGCTGGAGAACTCTGGCACAGGTTATCTGAAGAATCTGCACATCTGACAAGGACCATCAGATGATCCTTACTGCACAAAGTCTTTCATAAAAGCTATCCAGAATATAAGAATACACAATAAGTGGCTTTGAGATGCAGCTCTAAAAAGGGCAGGAGATCCACAGTGCAAGTGGGAGATACAAAATGCATATATATTTGTCCAAAACTTGTTCAAATGACTGCTGAAAAACAAAATGCCAGACCCCTGAGAAATTCAGATACTGCCCAGTCAGATATATCCAAGGGATTTGTTTACTTTCTCTACCAATTATCAGAACAGACAGAACATATTAACATTTCAAGAACATTCTAAATTGCTTCCATTTCCATATACATAAGGAAAACATTATAACAAGTGTTCACCATAAGACTCTCAGTTTAAATTCTTACCTCTAGTGGTACACAGTGCACACATTTACCCAGTGGGCCATGTCGACAACTGTATGAAGACAAACAAAAGTGAGCAGCCACATTCACTAGCAGCAATAGAAAGACACTTTGTTTTATACAATTTTTCAAAATTAATAAATGTGGAACCTGGAAAAATATCTGTCATCAAATCACCAGTAAATCTGATCTTATAAAAAAATCAAACTTAACAGAAATTAATATGTCTGTTGGTAAAGCCTAAATCTGCTAGTTAAATTACTATGCCAACTAGTTTTAAATTTACCCTGGATATCTGATATCATAATTATACCAGCTGTTGAATTCACACAGCAGGAGGTTGGTGGAGGAGGCTGTTGTTGTTGTGGGGTGGGGGATACAGATGGGTGGTTACTTATAGAAGAAAGACCAGTGCAGCATTTTTCCAATACCAACTACCTAAGCATAAGGAATATAAGAGGCAGTGCATAATGTAATAAAACTTTATTTTCTTAAATAGCCTGCTCGCAATCTCCCCCCGCCCCCCACATCCATCCCACTGTTGGTTTCTGTCTTCATTTGTTACTGATCTTAGCAACAACATAATAGCTTTATCTTCTTGGAATATATGTAGTAAAAGTTAACTTGAAAAAAGGAGTATGAAGTTTTGCTTTTGAAGGTTTCATAAGCACAGCTTTTAAAACTAAACTGCTGTTTTGAAGAGTCTAACAATACTTCACTATTCAAAGGCTTCGGCTTTTTGATATTCACTGAAGCAAAGATTCCTATACATGAAAAGCCATATGAAGGGGCAAAGTGAAGCTATTAAATTTTAAGATTAACGATACATTTTAAAAGATTAAATCAGAGTCTTTTGAGAGTCACTACTAATAGGAGGTCTAATCTCGAAACTGATTGTTACAGTGAACAAGTAGCCATCAGGTGGTCACAAAACAACTTCCCCAGACACATGCCAAACCCTAGGATGTTTTCCTTATACCTCATGAGATTTGTATGTTTCAAGTTTCTTTAAAGGTTCCAGCATGTGAATATATGATTATCAAAAGCAACTCTGTGTCAGAATCTCAACCTGAGACACATTAAAACTTGCTACATCTCTGCAGGTATGCAGCTATTTCAAGTCAAAGGATAAGAAGAGGCACAAAGATTCAGAAGACAAAAAACAGGCAAAATCTCCAGAATCATGGTGCCTGCTGCTCTATTCACTAAATTTCACTTCCACGTTTCTTTGATATAAACCTTTCCATTGTCCCTACAACTAGGTATACCTTTAGCCTTTCTGTAATTGGGATTTATTGTTTTTAGTGCCTTACATACAGAAACATGCAAAGCCACTCTAAGGCATCACTGAAATCTACCAGCAAATCTAGTCACCTCAAAATATGAATACTTTTGGTCAAAGGCAACTGGCTATATCTGCACAACTGGAATTAAAGGATACCTGTTATTACATGTGATCTGTTAATCATTTTTCTGAATTCAGTGGGGAGAAATCCATCTGTCCATAAGTTCAGGATGCACTGGATTTCTCACTGAATATGTAAGTGAGGCAAGCACCTGTTTTTGAGGAACAGCTGGATTCATGAGAATGGCATTTGCATTCTGTCTGAGCTGTACTAACAGCTAACCAAACCTGCACTGTGTCACCTGGCCGTCATGGTCAATTTCCATTTGGCTCAAGTAAGAGCTGAAATTTAAATTTTGCTGCAGTTATTTAAGCCTATTACTTCTAGACACATAAGCCAAGTTGCTGTACTAAGATACCAGATGAAAACAAATGGACAGCCAATAAGGAACAAGCTCCTCACTGTCAGAGTAAAATGACAATGGAACCAGTTGCCTGGAGAGGTCAAGGGCTCTCCCACACTAGAGCCATTCAAAAAGAAACTGGACAGCCATCTGAGTGAGAGGGTGTAAACTGGTGTCCTGAAACAGCAGGTGGCTGGACCCAATGGCCTTCATGGCCCCTTCCAACTCTACTATTCTATTATTTTAAACCTATTTTGGGATATGCTTAACATTGGCCAATACATGACGAGATGTTATTTCAAGCTACAAAGCCATAAGTGGCTTGGGACCAAATAAACTTTTAATTTCCAGTGCTAATCAGATTCCTTCATTGGCAGGTAAAATCAGAGAGGCTATTAGTTGTTGCTTTTTGTTTTTAGCTGTAGGTTGACAAATCCTTCTGTGACTGCATTTTTAATGAGAATTTTAGAAGATGATTATTAATTATTTGTAAGTCACACAACCTCTGCATTCCAACCTACTACTTTACAGCATGGACTGTATGAGAGACAGAGGTAGATGCTCTATCACAACTGTTTTCAAACTATGAGCTTGACGTTCTTAGAGAGGTCCCTACCTTTTTACTACCTGTACAGGTTGTCAAATGAGCAATTCTCTTCATTTAATTTAAAAAATCCTTGCCTCAGTCCTGTCCCCCTCCAAGGAACCTTGAAGCATGCCCAGATCTCCCCTAATCCCACACCCTTCAATGGGATACTTTACCCCCAGGACAAAGAAAAAAGGACAGCTGCAACATAAACCACGTATTTTTACATTCATTATGTTAATATGCACATATTTTCTATCTATCTAGAATTAAGGCGGGCATAAATAACAAAGCCCCATATATAAGGGAAAATGTATCAGAAAATTAATTGCACAACAATTCTCAGAGTCCAAATACAAAGCACAAGAATATTTACAGTTGCTGGTCTCTGTTTCTGTAAATCTTCCCATCTTGTTTTATTAGATATTGGTCAATTTCATCTTCTACCACCTGGGGAACACCCAACTGACGCACTCCTTGGGAAACTGAGGTATCCATGTTCTCAGAAGAAGAGGCTGCTGGGCTCGATGGAAAAAGAAACAGCATATCTCCATGTCTACAAAAGAAGACAAAGTATGATCGATCTATTACAGGATGAATATCACTTCCATAATTAATTATTACATCTAAATGTCTGAGTTTTCAATTTGTAAGTACATAGAGGCACTCTGCTCACTCTACAAAATTAGTAACAGCACAATCACTTTATCTTGGGTTGAATCAAGAGTAGGCCATCTGGCCCCTTTTGTTTTCCAATTCTCCCTTCCCCTTGATGCCCTCAGTACATTTTCCATACCACTCTCTCTGATGCTTTTCAGACAGTAGCAGAAAGAAGTGACCCCTTTCCTCCAGTGCCTGCAAGCAGCATTCTGCCCAAGGGACTTCTGATTCCAAGCATTAGTCTGTTCCAGTTAGAGAAATCCTCTTTATGTTTACTCAGCAGTAAGTCCACCTGTATTTATTTCATTCCATTTCTATGCTACCCCATAACTTGAAGGTTTTTGGGGTATGTATTCTGTGTAGCTCACTTCCAGGTAACTAGGAAAAGGACTGTAGCCTTCAAGAATTTTCTTTCTTTGCTTCATTTTTTGTCAAATAATGCTGGCACTTTTTAAAGACACATTTCTCTTAGAGTCAACACTGTGATGTAATTCAAACTTTCCCCTCTCCCCATCTCTGCCACCCATTCTGATAGGAAGAAGAGAGATGTCAAGGAAAGAAGGTAGAGTTTCTAGTCTCCAGCATTGAACAGCACCTTCCCCTACCTCTTCTTTTAGAATTATTGGCATGCTGCCAAGATCAGCAGATGGAGGGATGCCTGATTCACCAGGGGGCTGATAAGTAACCTATTCCCCCAAAGCTAACTACCCCCCTCACAAAGTAACACCAAAAACTGACAGTGAAGCCAACAAGTCATCTGCTCCCAAATAGAACTCCTGTTGAATAGAAGATGGAATATCCTCCCCGCTGTGGACTTTTCACAGACAAATGTTTATATTTGTTTCAGTCAGCCTTTGATAATTACCCGCTGCCCTGTCCCATTTCATTTTAACACGTATTATTACTTTAATTGCAACAATTTGCTATGGCACTTTGGAGAATAGTAGTATATCAATATTTTAAATAAATAAAATGATAAATTGCCTTCATAGTCCTTCATTTCATCACAGGTAGAGAATTGAAAAAAAAGACTATCTGGAGTTCCAGACTGCAAAAAGAGTTGCAATTGGTTCTAGTTTCTTCTCTTTGGTATCAGAAAGAAGATATTCCTTAGAAGCATTCCAACAATTTATCTGTAGGCAGACGCATTCTTGGTTGAAAGTGACATACTCCAATCATTCTGACTAGTAACCACTGATGGCCCGATCCCCATGAATTTGTCCAACTCCCTTTTAAAGCTATCCAAATTGGTGGCCATCACTTTATCTTGTGGAACTGAATTCCACAGTTTCATCACATGCTGTGTAAAGACATATCTGCCATGAATCTCCCACCAAGCAGCTTCATGGGATGAGTTTGGATTCAAGTACATGAGACAAAGAGAAAAATGTCTTCATGTCCACTTTTTTTACACCATACATGATTATCTACACTTCTATCATGTCTGTCTATTTCTTTATTTATTTTATTAAACTTATATTCCACTGTATTAGCCCTGGGGCTCTCTAAGCTGATTACAATAAAATAAAAACATAACAATAAAAATAAACACATAACAATATTCAGAAAGGAAATCAGTATACAGCTGAGGGATAATAATATAAAACAGTACAGATTTAAACAGCAATACTATAAAAACAAACCACCTTTAAAATTATCAATATTAAATTGTTAACAAGTCTAGAAAATAACGTCATTTTTGACAAAGAATAAAGTAGTTTCATCAAAAAGACTGTAATGAAGGCACCAGGTGAACTGCTTTTTGCAAGACTGTTTCATAAGTGGGCCACAACTACTGAGAAGGCCCCTCTTCTATATGCTACCCCCTTACTTATCATTTTTCGAAACAAAAAAATCTGAGATGATGTAAGCTTTCCTCAAAGAGCATTGCGCCAGTCCCTTTTAGTTAGCTCTTTTCAGAACTTTTTACTGATTCTACAGCATCTTTTTAAAAGTGCAGTAACCAGAACTGCACACAGAATTCCGAGCATGGTTGCAACATGGATATGTATAAGGGAGCATGACATTGGTCATTTTATTTTCAATTCCTTTCCCAATTATGCCTCCTAACAACAACCCTGTGAAATAGGCTAGGCTGAGAGTGAGTGAATGCCCCTAGCTGCCCAGACAGCTTTATGGCCAAATGGGAACTAAAACCAGTATCTCCCAGATTCCCAGTCCAACACTCTAACAATAAACCTAGAACAGATAATAATTTCCCAAACCTCCCTGTATGTATTTTTAGCAATTGACATTATGTTTGACAATGACAGATCTTAATGGCATGTAAAATATCTTTTTTAGATCATCATTCCACCTTTCAGTTCTTTGTGAACTCCTGCATATTACCTGGGCCTGTTAATTCATTGACTTTCAATTTGTTAATAAGGTTGCGAAATTCATCTTTTGCCATCACTATGTGCCTCAGACTCTCTTCCTGAAAATATCAGTTCAGGCACAAGCATCTCATGCTATATCTTCTGCAGCGTAGAGATGAAAAGAATTACCATATTTTTCGCTCTATAAGACGCACTTTTCCCCCCTCAAAACTAAGGGGAAATGTCTGTGCGTCTTATAGAGCGAATGTGTGTGTGCCCGGGATGCTGCCGGCTGCCTGCACCACATGGCACCACCTGGCCGGCACGCGCTCAGAGCGCCCTGCTCCGCCCCCCCCCCCGGCGCAAGTGAGAGCCGTGCCGCTCAGGGGGAGGCGTGCGGAGGAGGAGGAGCCACAGCCTTTAACCCACCGGCTGCACGGAGAGACGGACTGCTCACCCCCACCACCTGGCAAGACCTGCCGCCGCGCTGGCCAGAAGACCACCGCCGGCACGCTGCCAGCCCCACGTGGCACCACCTGGTTGGCATGCACTCGGCGCGCCCTGCTCCGCCCCCCTCCTCCGGCGCAGGTGAGAGCTGTTAATCACAGGTCGGTGTGTGTTTTCAAATGGCAACCCGTCTTTTAATGAAGCCCATGGGAAAGTGATGGGGAATATGCCCGTGATTATCAGGAAGCTTTCCATGCATCAGTTATCTGTTAGTTGATCAGACACATTTTTTTTAGGATCAGTGGATATTTGAACAGCATTACCTTCGTGTATGAAGTTTATTCTTCAAAGGCTACTTAGTCCGCTGTGCGTTTGATTTACCGTACAATATCTCATTTTTTTGTCAGAAGTTTTTTTCTATTATTTACTAGTAGGGCAGTGTGGACATTACTGGCTTTTTTAGATTTGTTATTGAATTGTCTGCAGCAGCTCTTGTATAACTGGTGTAGATTGTGGATTCCTTCAATAATTCCACTACTAAGGAAGTGATGTCAGTGATTGTGAGCAAGAGAGCTTCATAAATTCTGACTCTAGTGTTCAACGAAAACTAGAAGAGTACTCGAACTTTAAAGTCTCTCTTTTGTTAATGACAGTGATGATGGTTCTTAATGCCACTGTTGACTGCTGTTCACTTTACAAGGTTGAAATACAGTATTACTGTATTCTGTTATAGTTCATTAAATAGTTTAGTAAACCATTTGATTCAGAATATTTTTTTTCTTGTTTTCCTCCTCTAAAAACTAGGTGCGTCTTACGGTCAGGTGCGTCTTATAGAGCGAAAAATAGGTAATTCAATTTCTCTAGGATCACCTTATCCTTTAACAGTTCCTTTAACTCAGCCATCATCCAATGGACCAACTGCCTCTGTAGCTGGGTTATTTATTAGATTTATATCAACCCCTTTTTTTCTTTTCCTTAAAGAACTCAAGGCAGCTTTTTATCATTCTCTTCCTGTTGCTCTCAAATACTCAAGTATCTCAATATTAGCATACTTAAATTTTTTTGGTCTGGCCCAGTTTCTTGTGTGGAAGCTGATTTTCCTGTATTTTGCTCTATGTTATTGTAGAATTTATTACGTTGCTCTATTTTTTAATGTAAGCTGTCATAGAACTATGTTGAAGAGTTTATGTGTTCAATTTCCTAAATAAATTAAACTTTATTTAAACCTACCCATTCTTAACAGAAGGCAATAACATATTTCTCTTTATATGCTTTTCAAAGCAAAAGGGGTAATGGGTGTTTTTTTTCCTCCCGTGGATGGACAAAAAATACTAGAAATGTCTGTCTTTCCGGCTTTCACTTGCACAGCACAGGAAGGAGTAAAGCCTCCAATACTGGAGGCTCCGCTAACAGAGCACAGGATTGCTCTCTTTAAAATATATGGCAGAAATATATCACAACAGAATTACAACCAAGAAAAAAATCTTTAAAACATAGTCACCCCAGAGATATGCACTCCTGCTGCTTCAATCTGAGCACCAGATGTCATCACCAAGAATATCTGAATGATACTTCAGTTCTGAACCACCAAGACTAGAAATGTTTCTGCAGATATTAAATCAAAGGTTCTCTCACTGTCCAATTAGTACTAGGTCTTAATGATGGGAGGAAGCCTCTCTCATCCCCCAACAACCTCCACTGAGATTGTAATTTCACCACCACTACAAATGTAAGGAAGTAGTCAACCTGGAAGCAGGATCACGAGAAAAGAGAAACAGCAGCAGAAAGGAAATCAGTAGGTGTGAAATTGAGGGGAATGCAGTGGTAGTGAGGGGACTGGGGTTCAAGATAACTTTATGTGGCCACATGTGTGTTGTGAGCTGGATTTAATAGTTTGAGTTTTAAATAAGTTGCTCCCCAAATCGATTTGTTTGTCCAATACTGCTACTGTCCTCCTACACAAAAAGCTAAACAATTAATAGCTCTTCCTACAGCTGCACTTAAAACATAAAAAGAACTTTAACCAAGGAGGCTTTTTAAGAAAAAAGCAACCTACTAAAAAAGGACAAAATAAAATGAACAACACCTCAGAGCAATTAAAAAGACTTTCTGGAAAGTTTCTTCTAGAGAGCCTTTTCTGCTGTTGCTCCCCACATCTGCTTCCAGAAGTTGCTCTGCTGGCTAGTCCATGACTTCTTGTCAGCAGTGTACACTAATCAAGTGATGTCAAGCAATTTTGGAATTACTAATACAGGCAGACTCTGGGTTCGAATGAATTGCATTCCCGATAAAATGGAAATTCGTGTTTAAGTTGAATTTTGTATGTTAAGTTGGGTCACATATTGGCCCTCTACATTTGACCGGTTTAGGGACACAGAAACTCTGCAAAAGTGGAAAAATGTTAATATCTCTAGCCTCTCTACCCACCCAGGCCTCCTCTTTGCAGCAAGACAATGCTGGAGATATTTCCCTTTCAGGATAGGTAGAGCAGGAAGGCCTGCTTTGAGGCCTTCCTCTGTCATGATGACAATTTCATGTAGTAGGTCTTTTATTTGAATTTTTAAATTGACATGCTTTCTGGCAGTTCATTCATATGTATGGGTTGTTCGTAACCCAGACATTCATAACCCAGGGACTGCCTGTAGCTCTGAAATGACAAGTTATCTTACAATGTTCCAACAACACAGAATGGATTGAAGAGATTTTTGTGGCCAACCAGTTTCAAAGTATGGAATATGTAAGCTAGTGTATCTGGCTGCTAACTATATTCTGTAACATCAAAAACCAACACACTCTTCTTCAACTGTACACACAGACATAAATACGATAGATAACAACACATAGGATAGTGAAGTAAATATTTCTATTCCCTTATCAAACAGAGACTGTTGTAAAATGATAGGTAGGATTTCCAAAACAGAAGCAGAACCTACATTAGTCTAAAAATGGTTCCATGTCTTTTGGTGAGTACTTACTTGATTTTTAACAAGTTGAGTGACTTATTGGGAGATGATGTGATCTCACCAGTCCTGTTTCTATTGATGTACACAGAAAAACCATTATTTCTGAAGCCAAATTCTTTTGCAACCTAGAAAAGAGGAGATAACACCTGGAACTTTTGCTGTAAGGATAAACTCTTAAGGACTATATGGAATGTACAATGTAAATATTTCATGTAGATGTAGCTAAGTACATGAAAGTGCAAGTGATCAGAAATGTGTTCTCAAAGAATCTACAAGACAATACATGGAAACGACAAGATTTTGCATGAATGGATCTTGCCAATTCAGCAAGTACCTTCCTTAGACTTGCATGTTACTGTCAATTCCAGCAGTTCACCATAACTAAGTCCACCGTGGGAACAATTCATACTTCCAGAAACAGAAAGCATGGAATCACATGGTCCACCCTTATTTGAAAACACCCAAATCCATATAGAAGCTCATTAGAGCTGCCAAATTGAACAGTTGCCCTAATCAGTAATTCTATTTTGAAGAATGGAGCTCAGCATGAGCAGCACTTCATGGAATTCACTCTCAACACAGATTAATCTGGCCACCTTCCATAAAAGCAACTTCTTATATTGACAGAGGTCAGCTACTGTTAGCTGGCCTTGAGAATCAGCCAAAATGTATTGTCACCATGATCCTACCTCTGCTCCCTAAGACAGGTTCTTCCAACTTTATGCTAATGTCAATGCCAATGGAAATTGTGGCAGCTGAGCCTCAGCCCTCCTCTGATGAGAAGAGAGAACTCATTCTCACTGCAATATTGCAGATACTCAAAAGGCAGCAAGATGTCCCTGCAAGATTATTGGATCAGTGCAAAATCAAGAGGAGCCACTGCAATTCTATGATTCTGATGACAAAATGGCATAAAGGAGAGTCCTGACACACCTCCAGATTCAGAAGAAGGGTGAGACTTTCTATAACTCTGTGGACTCACTAAAGCTAAAACTGTAGTTGCTAACGGCACTGACAATTGGATTCCTATCAATAGGAAGGCCCTCCTTTTTATTCTAAGGTTGGCTGTTGTGGGGTCCTGCATATGAGAAATTGAGTTACTTCTATTTTTCATTACTGTTCTATTAATTTTAGGATATGCTATCATTCTAACTTTAGACTGCTTTTATGTTTAAATTGTGCATTTGCTTTATCTTAGTGTATTAAAAATGGAAGTATTGCTATTTGTTTTATGCTGCACAGCAATTTTAAGTAAAAAAAAGGTATCCAATAAACATAACAATAATAAACTCCTAAATAATGCTAGATCTGAAGCATGTGCCACTGAATTCAGCAGAATTCAATTTTTAAGACAGATGCACATGACTGCAACCTTAAGTTGTATTAGAAATCTGTTTCTTGCATAATTATGGAAAAGGTACAAATCGTCACAACTACAGTTGTACTACAATCCTTATTTTGCATTCTGGCTATTCAAACCAGTCTTACTAATCCCTCAGCACCAATCAGTCGCACATTTCTTGTGTGACTTGTGCATGCCAGGTGTCACCCTAACCTTTCCCCTTCAAAATTTAAAATATCCCTCTGACAGAAAGAACATTTGTGACATGTCAGAATAAGTTAGTGTTAGGGTTGGATGAAGGAGTCAGATAACAAAATTGAGTCTCACTTTAATTTTGCAGAGATTACTATCCTGCCTAATGTGTGCTGCATTGCACAGCTATAACCGCTGCATTCTAATTATGTTATGCCATCATTGCCGTATTTAATTTACAGAGTTAATATTTGTAAATCCAACCAAATTCTGGAGAGATTCACAAACCAGTTGTGTTTTGACTAACAGGAAGTTGCTTTCCTTGAAGAACATCGAAGAATGCCAAGCCACAATACCTTTTTCAGAAATGTTGCAGCAGTTTCCCGTTTTGTTGCTGTGATACGTTTCACTCCCTCTGGTGATTGGACACGGATTATCTGTTGGGATTTGCAAGTATTTTAAAGAATGTAAGACAAAAGAAATTGCCACAACTCATCACATTCCAGCTTTTGAGACAAAAATATGAAACGGAGGACTGGCGCTGGAATTCATGGAACCAAACCAATATAATCACAATCTGTAAAACTTGATATTAAAATAGCCTTAGTTTAAAAAAATAAAAAAAGTTCAATAGAACTGATAGGAGGAGAAGTGGAATTATGAACCACATATAACCTAACTTCAATGATTGTTTTTAAACTATGGAAGATTTGATATACACGTTTGGAGTACTTAAAGTCCATTTTCCTGACTGAACCTCTGTGTTTACAAATTACAGACAAAAAGATTACATATAACTCGTCACAAAAACTCATGAATTTTCAGGCAGTATAAATAATTGCATCAGGTTGCATCATTAACTGCCAGCATCTCTTGTTTTAATTAAAAAATGGGCTTCCATCTGCAATAGAATGAGTTAAACCACACCAGTCCAGTGGGCTATAAAACAGTAGAGCATCTTCTGAAATGGAAAAATAAAGACAGCTATTTACTCTGACAAACAGCAGCTAATGATAACCCTTTCTAGAAAGGTGAGCTTGGCCTTGAATCAGTAATTAACTTGTCTTCCATTTCTGCGGTATGCAAAAAGGTCTAGCACTCTAAAGCTGTTATTGCAACATTCAAGTACACCTGCAGTGGGGAAAAACAAGCAGAGAAGTGTTACAGAAATGTACTAATAAAAGTTCTGCCCAGATTTCACATCTGGCACAAATGTGAACAACTCTAAATGTTACTGTCACCAGAACATTTTTTGTATCTTTTATCATCTGTTCACATCTCCTTATGCTTCTTGGGCAACCTTTTTTTAATGGCTTTTTTGACCTTTCTTAACTATTGCTTGCAACCTCTTTGACTTGGCGCTGCCTTTCCTAATCAGCAGTATCCTAATAGCTGAGCTGCTATTAGTGTGGTTCTGAGTAACCTCCAAACATTCTGAAGGAATTTCACCCTCTTGCCTCCCTGTTTTAATCTCTTAAAAATGTTTCTCATTTTAGAGAAGTTTCCTTTCAAACACAATTATTGCTTTGGTCTTGCTTAGCAATTTTCTACTTAAATATATATTACAACTAACTGCACTGTGGTCACTGTTTCTAATTGGTTCAAAAACATTTACATCTGATACTATGTCCTGAGCAGCACCACTCAGGATCCTCTGGTCAGTTCCATGGCTGCTGTTTTAAGGCACAATTGTTTAGGGCATTGAGAAATTTTACTTTTTTGTTGTTCCTGGAACATACATTAATCCAACCAAGGTGGAGGTTAAGTGAAGTCACCCATTATGACTATACTTTCCTGTTCTGAGGCCTCCCTGATTTCATTTTCTGTTCAAGGTCAGCATTCTGGTTCCAGGAACAGCAGCATGTTCTTAGTATTAAATTAGTTTTGGAGACTAGCACTAAATTAATTTGGAGCTAGCTGTTGCTATCCACAGTAACTCTGTGGAAAAGTCTGCTTGGTTTTAGGTTTTCTAGTCTGCTTAAAAGTATGCCTTCTTTTATGTGCAAAGCAACATTTCCTCCAGTACACTCTTCCCTGCCCTTCTCATAAAGTTTAAATACAGATGTGACCACGTTCCACTGGCTCTTCTTTCAGCAGGTTTCTGTAATACCCACTATATCTAGGTTTAAACCAGGCACTTCAACTCTCCCATCTTTGCTTGCAGGCTCCCTAGCCTATCTATAGAAATATCCATAGAGCGTGTTCCTCCCCAAATGTCTTGGGCATGCATTATCTTCTCCTATCACACTTCAGGCCTCTTTGACAGCTATCATGTTGCACTATTATGTTCATGGCCTATTTCCTCCCATTCTACATTTGGGCAATTGGAAACATTTTCATCTTTATCTCCTAAGCATGACTCAACTCTTCCCAATGTCTGTTGGTTTTCCTCCATTACAGGTTTATTCTTTTCCAATTGAAGATCTCCTCTATCAGGGTAAAAATCACAAAGTGATTGAAGACAGCAAATGTCTCTTAGAAGACAGTCCCATTTAAAATGCTTGCTGCATAGGTGAAAAGAAAATTGAGCAGTTGCAATTTCCAGATGTGGATGGGCAGATAGTTTCTAGCTGCTGCCTCAGCAGAAGTCTCAAAGCACTGATACAACCAGCAGGTAACTTGCCAAATTAGATGTCAGCTGCAGCCAGAATCTTGCAACTATGACATGTGTTTGAAACCTTTACAAGCAGTAAAACAACCCTGTTTGCTAAAATATTCAGAGAAGCAGCTAAGCAAGAGAATTTCTTAAACACTATTTATCTGTCAGTCATTCTTACAATTCTTACTCCTCTACTGAAAATTATTTTATTTGTATGCCACCTAGAGAACTATGGTTATTGGACAATCTTAAAAAGTAAAAAATATTCTGAGTATGCCCTACTAATAAAAGAAAACAAGTGCATGCATGATCATCACAAAGAATACCACATAATCATCTACATTTAAATCAGGTTAAAGGGCAGTGCTTACATTTTCAAAGTGGCTGATCCAACTCTATCAAAAACAGGTTTGACTAGAACTATATTTAAGTCATACCACAGCTTAGCTTTCAGTTTCAGAAACTATGACTGTATGTCACAATTACTCCAAACAGAGGCCCTGCTCCTTGTATTGTCATAGCTGACAAACATTATCAACATGTCACCCCAAGCACATCTGGTCAACATGGTCTCAAAGATAAGAGTGCCAACAATTTGTTAACATCAGCGATGGGAAGCTAAACTTTTATAAACTTCTAAAACATGTTCTGTCCAATTCTATGTTAAATCATACTTACCTGACTGCATAGGATCAGAGACTGTTAAGAAAATACACCATGGAGCATTTTCGATACTAATACATAACAATTCAATAACTTATTGGTTCATGTTTATTTTTCAGTATTTATATGCCACCTCATAGAAAAGAATTCTAAAGGTGGTTTACAAGTAAAAATGAAAATGACTCTAAAAACAACATGAATACAAATCTAAAGCAAAATAAATTAGTAACAGAGGTAACAGCACAAAACAGTGTTGGCATCCTCATTATCAATACTCATTTTTGTACTACCCACCAGCCTGCTCCAATCTGAAGAAACCACAATTGCATTCACACCTGTGTGGTATTAAGTTGTATATACTGTGTGCACTCTGGAAAGCCATGGGGTCTCACTATAATGTAATTCAGCCTCTAGGTTTCAATATAGCTTGAAGTGCTTAACCCTGGAAGCTAAGCATAGTCAGGCCTACTTGAAATCTGGATGAATGACTTAAAATGTTATGAACCACTCAAGAGAGCTTCAGTTACTGGCAGTATAGAAATGTAATGTAGTAATAGAAATGGCTTTTTCATAGCTCTTACAGCACATAAGCACATATTCTTCAAACATCTTCCAAATGCTGGTGGGATCAAAGGGGAAGATGTCATGGTTCAAGCAACAGAGCTCAAACTTTCAACAGAGTAGGTTTCATATTCAATCCTTGATACCTCTAGGTTCCTCCCTTAGCTCAACCTTCTCACTGTATATAAAAACAGGGCCAAGTTTCTCCCCTCTTCATTATGGCTCTGAAGAAAAAACCTAAGTTTCTTCACCCAGATGTCTTGGATCCCTATTTTGCATTTGTGTTACTCACCCTGGTACACAAGCAAGACATAATAGCTTGTTGATAGGACATAAAAATGTCCTATCAACACAGCCATCTTTATAAATAGTACTAAAACTGAACCTAGATTCTAAGAGACTAATACTCAAGTCAATAAAAATTAAATGGAGTTGTTAAAAGTCACAATGAGCTTTTACTCAAATTATCAGATGTCCCGTTTGCCCACTGCCTGCCCTGTAGAACCAATATGGTGGTTAAGGTGTTGGACTGGGAACCTGTGAGAGCCTGGTTCTAGTCCCACCCAATCATGAAGCTCACTGGGTGCCTTTGGGCCAATCACTCACTCTCAACCTAACCAACCTCACAGGGTTGTCATTATGAAGATAAAATGGAGTTATGTAAGCCACCTTGCACTTTTCACTAGAGGAAAAAAGGCAAAATATAAATGCAATGTAATAACAACAATATACCCTGTCCCAAGAGCGGGGTGAAACAGATAAAGTACTGAGACTAGGGCATATCCACACCAAAAGTTTTTATCGATTTTAGGCTAGGTTAAATTATATGGGTTTTCCCTAAAGAATCCTGGGAGTTGTAGTTTGGTGACATGATGATCGTTAGACGCCCCCAGCCCCTCTCTTCACAAACTACAGTTTTCACTATTCCCCGAGGAAAAGGAATTATTGTTAAACCGGTATAAGTTTGCAGACTCCTGTCTTTTCAGCAGAGGTAGTATTTCCCACTCCGATGAAAATGGAGTAGAAAAGCAGTATATTAACTCTCGGGGGAAGGGGGGGCGCAAGTAGCCTTAAGTGCTAACTTCCCCTTTCACAGGAAAAACAAGGTGAAACGAGGTTGGCCCTCTTAAGGCTATCCGTCTCCTGAAGACTTGAAGACATCGCTTCTTTCCTCCTGCTCCTCCTCCCTAAAACCTGCATGGAAAATAAGCTCAGACAAAAGCCACCTAAGGCGGACGTGTCAGCGCCAAGGTGAGGCATTTGAAGGAGATACAAAAGCCGAATGGGACGTAGAAGAGATAAAGTGGGGAGCGCTAAAGCGGGGGCCGGTCTAGACTCCCCGCCTCCCTCACCATGACAAAGACTCGGGAGGGAGCAATAAAGCGACACACTCGCAAGGGAAAGGGGCGCCTCTCCTCCCCTCACAGGCCTCACTCCGGAGGCGGGGGAGCCCCACAGCCCTCCCCTCCCTCGCTCCCCAGCCCAACTTACAATGGTCTCCGCCATGTCCTCGCAGCCGCTCCCGGCCCACGTCCTGCCCCGGCTCCAGTGGCGCCGCCCTCTCTGCCGCTCGTGCGCCGCCAATACTGCCGCGTCACCGCTCCCGCCCGGTAACGCGAAGAGAGGCAGCAAGGTTCCGGGCAGAAACGATCCGGCCGCGAGCAGGGCGCTTCCTCCGGCGCCGCCTCTTTCCTCCGGATCGCTCCGCCTGGCCAGAGCGCGGCTCTGGCGGGCCGAAGGTCTCTCGCACGTAGGGTGTGAAGGGGCTTGCTCCCTCAAAAAGAAAGAAGTTTCTCACGAAACCGGCGGATAATAGCTTCCCTTCATTCACCAAATTCAAAGGAAAAGTACATCTGATAGGCATCTGATTTTGACAGAAAGCAATACATTTCCCCCCACCCTCTAGCTTACAAAAGTATAGGTGGAATCCACTGGCAGCTTGGAGTTTTCTTTGCGGGCCTTCATTATATAAAAATATATTAAGGATGTAGTATTATGCATATTTAGACAGAAAAAGCCCTACAGCTCCAAGTGTGATTGCATCTTAAGGGTGCAGTGCTAAAGCGATGTCTGTAACCCTCCAATACTGACAGATTTCTGGCATCCTGCGCAGAGTGGAAAAAGTGTGAAAGCGGTGGTTTATCTGAGCCAGGCCTGGATCTGGGCCGCTGAAGGGGAGTAATCCTTGCACTAGGCAATCTTTTTTGTGTGCAAATCGCCTGCTTGGGAGGGTAGCTGCCAGAAATCAGGCCTGCTCTGAGCTCCGCTCACTTTACAAAAGAGCTAGATGGCCAAATTCAGCTGTCTGCCCTACTTCAGAGGAGGGGGGACTACCATAGACTCCCCTGGAAGGCACAGCCACTCTAGGAACTGCTCTGCCAGCCAGCCTCTACTATCATTCTCATCCTAGTAACAAAAGTGCAGATCAATGAGGAAGTGGCAGGTGGTGTAAACAGGTGGTTTAAACATGGGATTAAATTTCAGGCACATTGACTGATAGGATACTTGTTCTCAGGATTAGGGCCGTAGTGGCCCTGCAAGTGCCTGCAGAACCAGGAACACCTTTGCAGGTGCTTGCAGGAAACAGCTGAGGAACAATTATGCAGTGCAGCTGGAGGACCTGGAGGCCAGCATAAAAGGCCTACCACCTCCTCAGGCTGTGGAGTTTCCTGTGGTGTTCCTCTTTGCTGACTTTTGACTGCAGGGAAATCTTTTTCATTCAAGCAGGCCTTTGACATGTAAGGGGGTTCATGGGTTGAATGCATTTTTATTCCATTTCCCCCCATCATCTAAAGTGGACGCTTGCAATCCTCTAAACTCAGATGCTTATGAGCATCTAGTCAAGTGCAGTACTTCTCCTGACCTCCAAAGGACAGATGGCTGCTTTTAGCTATAATGTTTGCCCCTACTCACAAGGAAGGGCTGAACTACAGGTAGTTCCCAGGTTACAAATGTCTAGGTTATGAGCAACCCATATTTATGAATGCTTGGACTGCCATAAACCCTATATGAATTTCTCTAAAGAAAAGCTGTGAATATCTCTAGGGAGTTGCATGACCTGTTTGGTGACACATCATCAGTGACCATGTAGTTCCCTAGTGATATCCATAACTTCTCTCTGGAGGTAGTTATTTATTAAAGTTAAATATAGCTATTTCTAGGGAAGCTGCCCCGAGGCTTTTTGCGAATGGGGCGGCATAGAAATGGTTTAAATAAATAAATAAAAACTATGCAACGCATTTGGAAACACATCATCAGTGGCAGCCTAGTTTCCTAGAGATACAGTATTCACGGCTTTTTGTTCCACGGTGTTGGCTCTGGTGTACCCAAGCCAGTGTGTTTTGGAGCATGTGTAAAGTGTGTAGTTCCCTTGCTTTTTCTGTAGCATGTGCCCTTGGAACCAGGCCCACCGCTGCCACAAGGCCATTTATGGTAAGAGAGAAAATGGCTGTACAAATGACCCATGAGGCCTATTCCAAGAAAGCGACTCCAGTGGTAACCCCCTGCCTGCAGCAACACAATCAAAACCTGATTCTTGTGAGCTGCCCCGAGGCTTTGTTGCGATGGGGGCAGCATAGAAGTGTTTTAAATAAATAAATAATTCTCCAGCAGCAGGTCTACCTCCATCATCACCAGTTAATGTCAGCCTTAATGTTACTTCAAGAATGTTCTAAAGTTTAGATTCTAAACTGTTTTAAGAACGGATTCTTTTCTTTATTTTTTACAATCCTGTACATCTACACACATACAGATTTTCTCTCTCACTTTTCACTACCTATAGCTATTTTATTGTTATCCTTATTACAGTGCTGTATTGTGTTGAGATGTTTTAGTGAATATGGAAATGTTAAGTGTTTTATATGCACAGAAAGGTAATACTTATGCACCTGTACTAAGACAAACATTTGGCTTACTCATGTAATCCAACTGACATACAAATTCAACTTAAGGACATTCCCAGGAACGGAACTCATCCGTAACCTGAGAACTACCTGTACCAGAATTCCTTGGGTTCCAACAAAGCCTCCTTCCTCACATCTCTGCCCCCTGGGATGACCCACCAGCACTGTCTCCAAAGTTGCGGTTTTGGAGGTGCATTTAGTGTAGAAAGAACTGTGTATCTGTGAGGGTGGAAGAAGGGCACTCCAAGCTCATAGGCCCAACTTTTCCAAGGTTGGAGCTGGGACTCCACCCTATCTTATGGCTATCTAGAAAGGCATATGGACTGTCACAGTACTCCTCACACCAATCCTATATTCATGGAGGCTTACATGCATCTAATGGCTGGAGCAAGGGCAGCGATTTCCATCTCTACCACATCTCACCCCATGCATTTTACCTAGGCAGCTATTTTCAGACACCTACAAAAGGTGACAAGGAGGGAAGAAGGCTATGGTGCCGATAGGAGTTGGTGCAGGTGGACAACCAAAGCTTCCTCCCTTTCCCACCTCCTGGTATGTTTCCTTTCCAGGCACATATCCTCTCTCAGAGAGGCAGCCAGAGCAGTTCTTTCCATACTGGATACAATAGGGTGAGATGGAGCGTGGCAGGGGCTCAGCCATCAGTGTCAAAGCATCAGGTTTCGACAACCTTGGTGCCTGGACATGGAAGGATCTTATGGTGTGCACGTGGCGGGGCAGGGGCGGGTGTGTGCAGAGATCTTTTTGGACTTGCTTGGAGAAAACGATCTCCCTGCAAGCAAGCTGCCTCTGGGCACGTGCATGGCAAGGCACTGGCTTCCTTGCAAGGAGATCATTTCAGATTTGCATGGAGAAACCTCTATCGCAGGCCGAATAAATGGGCACGGTGGGCCGGATCTGGCCCGCAGGCCATAGTTTGAGGACCCTTGGATTAACTTGATTTACATTGAACCTTATGGGGAAATTCGCTTTGATATACAAGTGGTTTGGATTACAAGAATGTTTCTGGAACGAATTATGCCCTCAATCCAAGGTTTTACTGTACTGAGGTTTTAGTTTAGAACAAACAATTCATAGCCAGTCCAAACAAATATATATATATATATATATATATATATATATATCCTTGGCAGTGCACTGACCGGCCATGCAAAAGCTTGGACGAGTTGCAGCTAATGAGTCGCGGCTTGTGACGTCATTGCCTGGCACCACTACTCATTTCCAAGCATGCGCATGGACCTTATGTGTGCTGTTATCCGCTGCTCCGCTGCTGGGGTGACTTGGCTCGCATACCAACAGAGGGGGCTTTGCGTAAATGATTTGGCACGCGTGCCATAGGTTCACCACCACTGGCCTGACCCTACCCTGGTGCACTCCCCTAACCCTAACAGAGGCCTAAATTTCAATTGAAAATTATGCGATTTTGAAAAAGCCTCCCTTGAGTAGCTTTTTTGGAGATCTCATCCTTTTTACCCATTCTAAACACATACCAACCATCAAAACAATGCCAAGACACTTCATTTTTCTAACCCTAACCCTACCCTGGTGCACATCCCTAACCCTAAAACTGTATACCCCCATGAAATCGCAGTTCAGCGTTCACGGCTTCAGTCTTTCACGGGATTTTTCTCCAAGCGAATCCAAGCCAATCTCCTTGCGAGTAAGCTGGTGCCTCACCATGCAGCGGATTACTCGCAAGGAGATTGTTTCCTCCGAGTTTGGACTTGTTTGGAGAAAACAATCTCTGCGTGTGCCTGCCCCTACCCCTACCCCACCACGCAGGTACGCCCACCACCCAGCCCAACCCGGCTCGCGCCTCCCGCCTGCACCGCCTTGGCGGCTGGTGCCCATTGCCGGCACCAAATTCGCAGTTTTTCACAATTCCCATGTGCTGTAGGAACATAAACCCCAGGAATTTCGGGGGAATTACTGTATAGGGCTAAAGTACCATTTAAAATACTGCAATTTTGAAAAAGCCTTTCTTGAGTAGCTTTTTCTGCACAACAGATCATTTCTGCCCATTCTAACCACATTACAACCATCAAAATCATGCCAAGACACCTCGTTTTTCTAACCCTAACCCTACCCTGATGCACGCCCTTAACCCTAAGATAGGGGTAAAAAACCATTCAAAACACACGAATTTGAAAAAGCTTTCTTTGAGTAGCTTTTTCTGCACAAGTAATCTTTTCTGCCCATTCAAAGCATATTCCATCCTTGAAAACAATACCAATACACCTCATTTTTTTAAACCTAACCCTACCCTGGTACACACCCCTAAACCTAATATAGGACTAAAGTTCCATAGAAAAGAGGGCGATTTTGCAAAAGCCTCCCTTGAGTAGCTGTTTCCGCACAGGTCATCATTTCTGCACTTTCAAAGCACATTCCAGCCATCACAATCATGCCAGGACACCTCGCTTTTGTAACCCTAACCCTACCCTGCTGCACACCCCTAACCCTAATATAGGGCTGAAGTTCCACTGAAAGAGGGCAATTTTGAAAAGGCTGTCCTTGAGTAGCTTTTTCCGCACAGCTCATCATTTCTGCCCATTCTAAACACATTCCAACCATCAAAATCATGCCAGGACACCTGGTTTTTCTAACCCCAACCCTACCCTTGTGCACACTCCTAACCCTAATTTAGGGGTAAAATACCATTCAAAAGAGGGCGATTTTGAAAGTGCCTTCGTTCAGTAGCTTTTTCTGCAAAGCAAAACATTTCTGCCCATGCTGAACACATTCCAACCATCGAAATCATGCCAAGATACCTGGTTTTTCAAACCCTTACCCCACCCTGGTGCCTGCCCTAACCCTAACAAAGGGTGAAAGTTCCATTGTAAAGTTGGCGATTTTGAAAAAGCCTTTCCATAGTAGCTTTTTCTGCACTGCTCTTCATTTCTGTCAATTCTAAACTCATTCCAATCCTCAAAATTATGCCAGGACACTTCTTTTTTCTCACCCTAACCCAATGATGTTGAACTTTTTAGAGACCGAGTGCCCAAACTGCAACCGTAAACCCACTTATTCATTGCAACGTGCCAACACTGCAATAAAACCTGAAAACTGACGTTTAGTTTAGAAAAGACCACTCACATCCCGTCCAAGCAAATATATATATCCTTAGCTGCGCGCAGACCGGCCATGCAAGAGCTTGGATGAGTCGCAGCTAATGAGTTGCGTCTAGTGACGTCATCCCCTGGAGCCACTACTCCTTTCTGAGCATGCGCATGGCCCCTATGTGCGCTGTTATCCGATGCTCAGCTGCTGGGGTGATACTGGGGCGACTTGGCTCGCCTGCCGACTGAGAGGGCTCTGCGTGCCTGCTGTGGCATGCGTGGCATAGGTTTGCCACCACTGCCCTAGAAGTTCACTGCAGACTGAGAAATATTTTTACTGGAAATAGCAGCTCTGTTTTCTCTTCTAAATGTTTTTTGCAGTCTTAGAAGATTAAACTAAGATTGGTACAGGTAGAATTATTTTATATTTGGGTTATTTGGTATGGCATGGGTGAAACCAATATGTAAATGTGTCACTCTTTAGGAAATTCTGGAATTATTTGCTTTGTACAATGTTGATTTTGTCACTAGATTCAATATTCTAGTGAAGGCTGATATATGTATTATAAGGGAGCCCCAGTAAATTCAATAAAGTTTATGCTAGAGGTTGCATCCAATGTTATCCCTACTCAAAGCAGGGACATAAGTTAGACCTACATTGGATAGAGTCCAAATTGAACATAAGATGCCACCCTAAGACTCCCACCTTAGGGATGCTAAAAGCAATCAGACATGATGCTGATCACATTGCTCTCACTTCTTCCACAGGAGTAGCTAAATTCAGATATTAGACTCTTGATTCTCCACAGTGTAGTTTGGAGGATTGAATGCATCTGATTGGCTTGTGCAGTCCCTTCTTTTTCTCTGCCCTCATTTTTATTGAAACAATTTATTCTTCCCTTTCCTGATTCTCTAACCATAATTTGCACTGTCATCTAATTTGAATAAACTATAGTTAGCATGAACCAGGATTATCTCTCGAACTATGGTCTACAAGCCCACTGAAAAGCTACGGTAAGCAATACATCAATGATTATGGTTGGCAAAATGAGGAGGGAATAAGTTTAGGAAAGAGGTGGCTGGAAATCATGAAGCCTTTTCTATTTCTCCAAACCATCCTTTGGAGCATTTCATACTGTCTGAATCAAACTGCTGTGTTCTTATCAACCAGCCTGGTGAACCTCAACATTTGGTTTTGATCTAGCCAAGCCCCCTGTTAAATTATACTTGTACCATAATCTGACTGGTTTCAATAGTGCTTCCAAATGTGGCTAGGATAACAGTTTTGCATTCATGTAGGTAGCTTACCTGAGAGCAGCCCCGTATACTTTTGGGCATGTCTGCAGATGCTTTTTGAACCATTGAGACAAATGTCCCAGAAGTCATCACTAGTACCTAACATGCCAGAACAATGATAGCCAATCAGAATGGATTATATCCATTGCCTCACAATCTCCTGGAGTGTGCCATCCTGCTGATAAAGCAGAGGCTTTTGGAAGACTGATCTTGCTTGCTAGTAATGTAGTGTACCCTTGGAGAGAGGCATTTCATATTCAAGGCACAGTTTAATTATTAGGGCATAATTAAGGAGATTTATGCAATGTTTTTCTTCATATAGTAGGGTTGTAGGTCTCCAGTATTTCTGTTTTACAGAAGGGGAGTAGTCGCTCAGCAAATTCAATGCTGAGTTGGGCTTTGGACCCCTGTCTCAGAGACCTAGATCACAATTCAGTCATGGGACTACCGTGGTGAAGTAATGTACACTCTTCTAATGTAAAATACCAGTCCTATATTTAATGTGCCTCTTGTTCAACAGCAGCTAGATTTCTGTCCAACTAAGGACATAGTTGGAGTAAGATAAATCAGTTCTTCATCTTGTTATTTTGTCTGTTGCATTAAGCTATCCTGTGCCGCCATCCCATACATTTGTAACTCTTAGAATTACATATAGCTATGAAATGCATACAGTTGTGTGTCATTGTGAAACGGCTTATTGGATAGGCTCACAGCAAGCAAGGCAAAGCTATACTTCTTAAGCCACGGAATGTGATTTCTCACATGATACAAGTATGACTGTAGGGGTCTGTCCAGAGACTCCCCTCCCCTGTATGACGTCAGTAGCCTTCCTGCTTGGTTAGCTAAGGGAAGTGCAGAATTATTTCAGATGACTCACACTACGGCCTGGGAAACAGAAAGTTAGCACCTTTTAAAATACCTTCTTGCAGGGGCTGTCCTTCCAAGCTGCCAAGATGGGAGAAGATGAAACCAGGGCTTTGCTATCAAAGGTAATAATCAAAATTTGAATTGTTTGGTTTTGTTTCTAAGTTCACTTTTTCCCGTTTCAGTTTATCACATACACTTTGCCCTTTCCATCAGTATTCTCCATAATTTTGCTTCTTGACCTTGACTTCTCAGTAGTGATATGGGATGGAACATTTCTGAATTTAGTTAACTTGGGCACCTTAGTTGGATATAATGTGTTGTTAAACTTTTTTCAGGCATCTATCCCTAGGAAGCACATATATCATTTATTATTTTTATTCATTAAATTTGTTTAAAAGCCACCTATTAGCAACATACTCGCAGGGCGGCCATTACAATGTATATCATGTACACAGCTCTTCAGGCACATCAAGCTGAGTATGACAGTTTTCATTTTTTCCCCCTTAGGTCACAATCCAAGGCAGAAATACTATGGAGAGTAAGCTCCAGTGAGTTATGTTGGACTTACTTCTGAGTAAACACAAATAGAATTATACTATTAACATCTAAGTAAGGCAAGAGAAAGGTATCAAAGCAATGTTCAGGAAAGGCTTTGGATTTGTTTAAACATTACCTTTAAATCACACTGTTCAATCAAATTGTGCCACACACACAAACACCCATGCCAAATATTTCAATTGAACTACTTTTGGCTGTTGGAAAAAATCAAGATATTTCATAACATGCACAATTAACAAGACGTAGGGGTTTTTAAGTTTTGTTTTTGGAATGTAACTAAAGTAAACAAGCAAAAAAGGAGATCTATTAGTTTAGAGCAGTGGAAAATTACCTATTTCAAATTGTTCCAGTAAAACCACTTCACTGCTCAGCTCATATATATTTCATGTCAACAGGGTTGAATATCCTATTCTTCCTCTAGGCTTTTAACAGTTTCCTTTAATCTTGCTGCTGTTTTTATCTTAAAGTTTATTTTAATTTTTTAATTCACTTTAATTACAAGCCACCTTGAAAACCATGATTGAGAGGTGGGGTACAAATATTTAAAATAAGTGCCTTCCTATACTTCTCACACTGTTTTTTCCTCTTTGGACTCTACCACCATCCAGTGTCAAGACTGGTAGCTTTAGATCAGTGGAGGTCCTGTCTCTTATAAAATTGGCTTCCTTTCTAGGTTGCCAAGGAGTTTTCTTAGTTTTCCAGTTTTCACCTGTAACAGAGATATTTTTAGCATACATCACATCTGTCACCGCTATGTACATGCACAGATCTTTGTACAGAAAAGTAGCCATGGTTTATTTTACCCTTGGTTTGTTACCCTATTGTGACTTGCTTTCAGAATACCTGGATTGATTGTTTCCTCCTTGTACAGCATGTACAGCGGCTGTGCATTCTTACTGCTCTTTTCTGCTGGCTCTGTAGCCTGCTACAGCAACCCACAATTCTGGGTTTACAAATAAAAACAACCCATGTTTTAAATAACCCAGAGTTCATAACTCAATAACAAATGATTTATTCTCTTTCTGAGTTTTTTTGTGACTATCAAGCCATAGTATTTTTTAGCACAACTGCATTCACACATCGCATCAATAGAATCTGATAATCCAGTCCATGGCTGAGTGTTATGTATGAGTCACAAAGGAATGAATGATATTACAATAGCTGAGCCATAACATAAGAATATTGCCATTTTCATATGTTGAAAAAGTTGTAAGTTGTCCTCTGCTCTGTGCATTGTTCTCTGGCCTACCCTCATGTCAGAGATTTTCAAGAGATCAGTTATATTGTACCTTCCTTTTATTTTGTTCCCTGTCTCTGACACTCAATCTACAATTCCTGGTTCTCTCCCATTGATCAGACAGACAGACTGGATGCATTTTGTCCATCGAATGCACAAGGTTCTCATCAAAGTCTGATTAGAGGAAAAGAAACTGGCTGCCCTGGGAATCAGAAAGGACAATGGCACTTCCGCAAGTCTTCCCATCACCCTCTAGACTCACTTAGCTGCAGTATTAAATATTTGACATTTATCTGGAATCTGACGTTCTGCATTACAGGATCGCTCATTTTGGCCATAGGAATCTGGGGTCTCTCTGACAAGGAATCACTGACAAGTGAGCGGATAACTTACTTGGGCAGCGACCCAATGCTCTTTTTTGTGTTGGCGGGTCTAGCAGCGAGTACTATGGCTCTGTTAGGCTGTACGGGTGCCCTCTTTGAGAACACCTGTCTCCTTAAGCTGTTTACTGGCGGAATCATCACCTTTGTGATCCTAGAAGCTCTGGGAGGAATCGTCCTCGTTTCTGTACAACACCAGATCAAGGCCTCCTTGCAAGATTCTCTCATGGTGGCAGTGCTACGGTACCAGGATGACCCAGATCTCCAATTTATTATGGATGAAATTCAGGCAGGCCTTCAGTGCTGTGGCGTGGAATCTTACCTAGACTGGAAAACAAATTTGTGAGTATAAACCTACTTTGAATATACATCTTGCCTCGTTCTATGATCAACTAGGAAGAATGAGAGAATGAAGATATCTCTGTATTGACATTACTGTATTGACATTAATATTGACATTAATTACAGATATCCGAATATAAATTTGAAATGGTGATAATTCAGTAAGTTCTGACCATGCTAACACTGCCCAAGGCCCCATTCTCCAAACATACTACTGAATGCTATTTCTCTGGTGTCTTTAGTTATCAAAACAAGACTTTTATTTGGTTTTGTAGAGCCAGAACCTTAGAGTTACAGGCTGAATATGAAAATGCTTTTGGGCCAAACAGTATTTACAAAGGGATTTACAAAGGGAATTTACAAAGGGAACAATTCTATAAAAAGTTTAATGGAAAAAAGGCCTACAATTCCCAGCATGCCCCAGCCAGCTATGGTAGGATGTCTAGGGTTATTTTTTTCTCGACACTTGCATAAGATTGTCCTTATCAATACAGATGAAATGTTATAGAAGCAAACTCATGACCACTTAACAGTTGAACTTAATTTAAGTAATTAAGTATGATGACTGTGTAGCTGTAACACTGCAAATACTGCACAAGATGGCAAGAGATCTGTGTTTCCAAATAGGTCACCACCAAGCAGCAGTAGGGGATAGAATTTGGGTGGGTTCCAAAAGAGATCTATGACTAATTTAAAATAATTTCCAGGAAGTAGTGCTTTATTCCAGATGTCTCTGGCTGGCTAGGGAACAAGTAGCTAAGGGGAAGAGTTGCAAGTCCAAAAGTGGTAAACGGGATGGTTGCAGCTTCCATCCCTCCCTGACATCCCAGTAGCCCTCAACTTCTTTGTCAGCAAGGTATGTTCAAAGACTTGGATCTACTGCTTGCTAGAGTATATGTCACACTGAAACTTATTCCTAAGCTAGAACTAGGCTATTCATCTACCTTTGTTGTGTAATGCTATGCATGTGCTTTGCTATGCATGCTAGCAATGTTGGCTAGGGAAAGTTGAGAACTGTAGGACTTTCTTCAGTCTAAGTGTGCAAAATATTCACCCTGGACCTCCCAAAGTGTTGAAATGTTGATTGTTGTGAAGATCTGCACATTCCCTTCCATTACTATGTAAAGCAGGGATGGCCCTCCATATGTTTTGGTCCACAACTCTCATACCTCACCATAGGCTATGCTGGCTAAGATTGATGTGAGTTGTAGGCTGCAACATCTGGAGGACCTAAAGTTGCCCCATCCTGCAGTAAATCATCACATTGATGTCATTACATAAATGAATTAGTTATCATCATCATTACAATTGAGAATAAACACATCTGTGGTTGTTTTAGCCATCCCATGTATGGTTGCAGCAATAGCCTGTAGTGGAAACATTCCATTGTTCTGCGCAAATTAGTCAGTTCAAAACCAGGCCGCCTTGGTGATGCAAATCATACTATCATAGCTCACCAGTTTTGGGACTACCCACTGCCATTAACCATATATCTTCTTGCTAACTCTTCTTTTAGATTGATGAGAGCCTGATTAATTTCATTTCCTACCAGAATCTTCATGAGAGGACTCAAACCAGAAAATAAGCTACTAAAATAATTAGAATAATTACTTGTGATGATGATGATGATGTAAGCTTCACTCCTTTCTCTGAATTGGGGCTAACATGTGCAAGAAAAACCCAATACCGGGGAAATTTTTTATATGGTACCAGCCAATATTGTTTTCTTTAATAGCTTTTTTCTTTATAATAGATTATCGTGGTGTTACTGTCCTTACTTTTAAGAAGTCTGAGTGGATCCTAACTTGCTTTATTGGTTTATTCTCATCTTTAGTCATAGATAAGAATGACCCATTTTCACCTACAGGTTTAACAGCTCCACATAGCATCCGCATGTGAGTACTCACTGAATAGATAAGTGGCAGAAAGAACATAAACATCAACCATGTTCAGAAAGAACATGAATGTGGTTAGTGTTGCCAGTCCTGGCCTTTCCTGGGTTGAGGGCAAGACAGTGGGTAGCCATCCCAAGGAGCATTAGTCTTGTGTTGGTCATACCAGCGACTCAGGAGGCAGCGCATGAAGTGCTCTGAGATGTTTTTTAAAAAGAGGCTGCCACCTTGGCGGGTGTACCTGGCCTCCTGCGGTCCCCTGCTTTGGCTTGAGCTGCTTGGTGATGCACAGCTATCATACCTCAGTTCCCACTTGCAAAACCTATTGTGGGCGTGAGTCCTGACAGGCACTGTCGAAGCTGACTGTGCTGACCCTCCACTAGGCAATGTATGCACAGACTCAGTCGTGTAAGGACCACTGTGCATGCCGGTTCAGGTGCAGGATGGGAGGTTTTCCTTTCACATGCACAGGTCTCGTTGCCGTTAGGGGATCCATGCGTGGAATTGCCTTACTACCCAAAATATTATTCTTTGTATAGGAGCTTTCCATCTGTATGTGTGGAGAAAGAAGTGGATTTTGGAAGAACCTTAACAAGGAGACAGGATCTTTGTGCTGCACGAGTGAATGAAATTATGTTTCCTCTTGTTAACTTGCAGGTATTTTAACTGCAGTTCTCCAGGCGTGCAAGCCTGTGGTGTTCCAGCTTCCTGCTGCCTGGATCCACTGGAAAATGGCACGATATCAAATTCCCAGTGCGGCTTTGGTGCCCTGAAGCTAGAGGAGTTCGTGGCTCCAAGCACCATCTATCTTGGAGGCTGTGTTCCCCAGCTGAGCAGATGGCTCCATAATCATGCAGGAGTGATTGGGTTCTCTTGTGTGATTCTGATTGCAGTGGAAGTAGGGAGCTTATTACTGGCCACTAAGCTCCTAGCAGGTATTGCCTTTGCTAGGACTCTGCATGACAGTGGGAGGGAACAAATGTATTTACTCTCCCATCACCAGAGACAAAGGGGATTTTATTCATGATCTTCTGAAGACAGTACATTCAAAGTGTTATAAACCCCCTTTTATCTTAAGATTAGTTAATCCCCAGGGTAGGATGTGCATTTTGTTAGGGGAAAAGGGTCTCTTTGCACTGGAAAATTTGATAGTTTATGCTGCGCCCTCTATTATTCTCCTCACTGTCCTTTGCTGGGGCTCATTTCCCAGCTCCACTCCAACTGTATCCTGTTCCATCAGTGCCACCTCTCCCGTGCTTTTAAGCAGGATTAGAAAAAAGAGGGAGGTGTTGCAGCATGGCCTGTCAGGATCACAACCCACATGGCTTAAGTAAGGCACAGTGGGCTTTTTGATCATGTAAACTGGTCTGTTGATGGAAATTTTTCTCCAACTTACATTTCTCTGCTGTTGGAGCAAAGCTTATGAGACACCCTCTCAAAGAAAAACTGCCTATCTGTATCCCTGCTTGCCTTTCAGTGGGCAGTGAAAACATCTATATTCTAGTGGGCTTTGGAGGATGCCTTTTGACAGATACTTTTTATTTCGTATTATTATTATTTTTTTATTTTACCATAGCATGTTGAGACAGACTGTTGTACTGGTATGGAGGCACTGAAGAGCTGTATCCATATTACACACACAAGCTTACTTGTTATCTCTTGGCATACTTTCTTTCCTCATTGCATTTTATTCAATTCATGCAACAACTTGTAGTTTACTTTAGTGGAGTGCCATTCCTTGACTCTTGGGGGACAAACTCTTTGTGTATGAAAAGTTACCTGCCAGCACTTTGGCTATAAGTGATGAATTAGGGTATGGGAATGTTCTCGTTGATTTAATGAGAGCCTTTTGCTTTTCATTAATTATACATTGTCGCACCGGACTCTGCTCCCTGAGCCATTTCAGTTTCATATTCTAGCCACTCTGATCATTAACTCTTGGTGCACAGTAGTATCCATTTACTGGTAGTGACATGCCACTGAAAGGTGCATTTGTTAGAGCTGACTGTAGTTTTGAAGTAAATTACACAGAAAACAGTGTGAGAAGGCAAGGAAGGGGTGCACAGAGAAGCACTGATTCTCTTCTTGGGCTTCCTTTGGCACTGAAGGATGGGAATGTTGAACACATCAGAAGAGTACTGCATGTTAGCTGGGATTAGTCACTAAACCTCAGTTTATGTTGACATAACATTTGTGCGAAGGAGAAAAATTTAGATTCATGTACCTAGAAATAAGTCCCAGTGGGATGTATTTCTGAGTAAACATCTCTAGGGTTATACTATCACTCTGCTGGAAAGTAGCTGAATTTGAAAAAAGAGAGCCAGATAAAATCTCAAGATATCATCTAGTCCATATGTGTCCTAGAAAGACACACTTAACTCTGCCACATTTGTGAAGATCTCGCCAACCTACTTCAAAAACTCCTTGAAGCGATGGAAACTATTCCCTCTTAATGTTTAATGTTACTGCTTTCCACTTCAGCATTCCAATCCTATCATCCCCTGAATCTTAAATGTTTCCTGTTGCAACTACAGTCTCTCTCCCTTTTCTTTCCCACCCTCCCACTTATACATTTTATCTTAATAAGGAATCTTACAATAGCTTTCATTGTTTGAGATCATCTACTGCTTTAAACTTTTCATCATCCAGGACACAGATAAAGAGTGAGAAGGTCACAGTAAAATGCAGAAACTACTGCCCATGTAAAGATATAATTTCTCAGGCTTATAGATGTGTTTTTGCAAAGTTTTACTACAAGGGGGAAAGTTAATCGTAAGTGCTATAGCATGAAGTCAAACCTAATGTTTATTCATTTGGGTTTATAAATGGCTGGGAGCCAAGAGCTGGTGATAGCTGGGAGAGTTGATGTGCAGAGCTCGAAACAATGATAAAGGGAAGGTCACAGAAGCTGTCCTGCTGCTGAAGGGAAGGTGTATGCGTGCAGACCCATTTCTGGCCTTTGTATGCTTAAATGATACCGTATTGTGCCAGCTCATGAAGCTCCAGGTGGCTGAAGGCTTCCCAGGGGCAGATTACAGTGATATCTGAAAGAAAGAAAGGAAGAAAGAAAGAAAAGACTGAAGGATCGATCGAACATGGGCCAGCCTCAGAACAATCCACATATGCTTATTGCCAAAAGTCATTGTGCTGCTGAGCTGGAATCTGCCCCAAAGGTTAGAGCCAGCAACCTGGTAGATTATAATCAGAAACAGCTAATTCTAGGCAAGCCCTAGGCAGCGTTGTTCAGAGGGACGGCCACTTGACTGCAGCGGGTCTGCCACCCAGTGCATACTTGGTTGCTGTACTTTCCCATGACCAAAGCAGTACTTTGGCACGGGCAGAAAAGGCTGTGTAGTCGCTGTGAAGCCCTGAGCAGAGATTCTTCTTTTGTAACACGGATCTTGGGTTGTAAGGAAACTAGTTTTTATTCTGCAGTTGCCCTGCTTCATTCATGGAATTTTATCTGTAGGATATAATCTTTCATATTTAAGCCCCCTACCCTAACTCTTCTGACTCACCCATAAAATTTTTGAAAATTAGGGAGGGAAAGATGGAATAGCTCTACAGTGGCATTTGTCTTGTAGTTCTAGATCTGTGTGTCTGGGAACTCCCCAGCAAATAAATTAGCTTGGATGCTTTTTAAACCTTTTTTTTGTATATGCCTGTATAAGTTATTCTGTTCTTTGTATATCTAAGCTTACTAACAAATACCTTTGACAGCATGTTACAAATATAATAGCAAAAGACAAAATAAAGTAAACAAATTGAACATTGAACACCCATTTCTGTTCTGATTTCCATTTGCACAACATATTCCACGAGTCAGTTAATTTGGTTCAAATTCATATTTCTCTCTTTGGCTAGTATACCTATCCAAAGAGATCTCTGAGTGGTAGGAATGCAAAGATCTGAGGATGAGGAAGCTAAGACATGGCTGGCTGGGGAAGACTGGGAGTTGTAAAACTTGTCTAAACATGCCCTAAATTAAGTAGTGCAGAGGTTGGGGCGGACCCCAGGCCTGGGACTAAATCAGACCCTCTGCGTTCCCCAGATGGCTTCTGCAAAAACTGAATTTGATCCTCAGCTGAAAGAGGTTGTCCATTTCTGGTGTAGTGCATGCACTGTACGGTGCTGGGCTGTGAGTTCAGCCCAGCCCACCTTTCACACTCAGCTGTGTGAGAATTCAGGGTGCGTGTGTGTGAGTTCTTCACAGCTTCCACTGTAAATACTGTTCAGCCAAAGAAGGAAAGGTAGATGGTAGCAATGCAAACATGGTAATACGGACAGGTGCAGCTGTGTGGGTCGTTCCAATGCCTCTTTGTCTATGTGGGCCGACTTCTTGACCTGCCCCAGTTTTCAGCCCCAGGAGTCATTCAGATTTTTTTTAAGGTCTTACAAACCTATGGAGAAAAGGCCTGACACAAACGGAGAGCTACCAGTGACAAGAAAGAGAGGTGGGGGCATGGCTTTATACGTCAGGGAAGGGATAGGATGCAGTGAGACAGAATGCAGCACAGATGGGGATTCGGCAGAGGCAGTCTGGGTGAAACTTAGGGGTTTTGACAGGGAAAGAGACCTGACAGTGGGGTATGTTATCGCCCTCCAGGTCAACTTGAGACCCTGGATGATGTCCTGACAGGCCAGATTCTAAGGATATCTCAGGGGAGAGACACAGTAATTATGGGAGATTTCAATCTCCCGGATATTACTTGGGAGACTCACTCGGTGGTGACAGCCAGGTCACATCGCTTCCTAGAAGCTATTGAGGGAGCGTTTTTCACACAGAGGGTCCGAGAGGCGACGAGGGGGGGGGAAACATCCTTGACTTGGTCTTGACCAATAGGGAGGAGCTGATAGATGAAGTACAGATTAGGGGAGCTCTGGATGCGAGTGATCACTCCATCCTTTGCTTTGAGATCAGGGGACTGCGGACAGGCAGCAGGCTGAGCACTAAAAGCTGGGACTTCAAGAGGGCCAACTTTGGCCAACTGAAGGCCAGACTGGGGAAAGTCTCCTGGAATAGGTTACTGGAAGGTAAGTGAGTTGAGGAGGGGTGGATAGCACTCAAAAGGGAGGTTTTGGAGGTGCAAGCCTTGACGATACCTCTAGTCAGTAAGGTGGGGAGGCAGAGGAGAGTGCCGCCATGGATGCAAAAGGAGGTGGTTAGAGGGATTAGACAAAAGAGGAACCTCCGTAGGAAATGGGTACTGGGGGAAATAGACAAAAGGGTATACTGGGAGGAGGAGAACCGTTGCAGGAGGATTCTTCGCAAGGCTAAGGCTGATTAAGAGCTGAGACTTGCCAAGAATATCAAGAGCAACAAAAAGGGCTTCTTTCAGCATGTAAATAGGAAGAGGAAGGGGAGACAAGTGGTGGGACCACTAAATAAGGAGGAAGGAGATCCAGTGCCTGATATGAGGGAACAGGCACAGATGCTAAATGACTTTTTTGCCTCTGTGTTCTCCCCAAAGCAGGACGGGGGATATCCGCATAGGAGATTAGATGACGCTGGGGACTTAGGGGCACTGATTAGAGTCACCCCCCTTGAAGTCGAGGGGCTCCTCAGGGCATTGGACATTACAAAGGTGCCAGACCCTGACAGGTTACACCCGAGAGTACTTAGAGAGTTGGCAGGGGTTCTCTCACGCCCGCTGGCCTCCATTTTTGAGACCTCGTGGAGAACGGGTGAAGTTCCAGAGGACTGGAGGGTGGCATCAGTGGTCCCAATTTTCAAAAAGCGTAGTAGAAAGGACATGGGGAATTATAGACCTGTTAGCCTTATGTCCATTGTAGGAAAAACAATGGAAAGGCTCATAATAGAGAGAGATCTAGTGATGCTAGATAGGGAAGGAAGGCTGACAGCCACACAACACCGCATCCGCAAAAACAGGTCCTGCCAGACAAACCTTGTGGAATTTTATGACAAGGTTTTGCGATGGCTAGATGGAGGGGATGCAGTGGATGTGGTTTACCTGGATTTCAGCGAGGCCTTTGACAAAGTGCCTCATGACATCCTGGTGGAGAAACTGAGGAGTTTTGGGATACACCAAAGCACTGTCCAGTGGATTAGGGCATGGTTGACTGTCCGAAAGCAGAAGGTAACCATTAGTGGGGAATCATCGGGATGGCGGCCAGTGACAAGCGGGGTCCCCCAGGGCTCTGTCCTGGGGCTGATCCTGTTTAATCTTTTCATTAACGACATGGAAGAAGGGGTGAACAGTCTGCTGATCAAATTTGCAGACGACACTAAAACTGGAGCAGTGGCCACAACTGAGGAGCAGGTACTCCAGATCCAAAGGGATCTGGACAGACTATGGAAGTGGGCAGGAGACAACAGGATGGCGTTCAATGTGGATAAGTGCAATGTCTTGCACTTGGGGCATAGGAACAGGTGTCATAAGTACAGGTTAGGTGATAAGTGGCTGGAGAGCAGCACTTGTGAAAGGGACCTCGGGGTACTGGTTGACTGCAGGCTAAACATGAGTCAGCAGTGTGATGCGGCTGTCAAGAGGGCGAACGCCACCCTTGGTTGCATAGCCAGAAGTGTGGCTTCTAGATCTAGAGAGGTATTACTACCACTCTACATGACTCTAGTGTGCCCGCAACTGGTGTATTGTGTTCAGTTTTGGGCCCCTCATTACAGAAAGGATATAGCCAAGTTAGAGTCAGTGCAGCATAGGGCCACAAGGTTGGTGGCTGGTTTGCAGGGGATGGGGTATGAGGCGAGACTAAGGGAACTGGGTCTCTTCAGTCTGGAGGAGACTCAGAGGGGATCTGTTGGTGACATACAGGTATGTGAGGAGATGTCACATGGAGATGGGTAGAGACCTGTTCTCCCCTGCAGAGGAAGGCAGAATGCGCTCCAACGGAGCAAAGCTCAGGGAGCCATGGTTCCATCTGGATGCCAGGAAGCATTTCCTGACAGTCAGGACCCCGAGGGTGTGGAATGGGCTTCCCCGGGAGGTGGTTGAGGCACTATCGGTGCGGGTTTTCAAGGATAGGCTGGACGTCCACATGGTGGGCATGTCGTGAGTGGAGCCGGCTGGTGCTGGAGGTCAGACTAGATGGCCCGGGAGATCCCTTCTGACTCGCTCTGTTTTCTATGTTTCTAAGAACGCTTTCAATCATGAAGACAGGCATGGCATAATGTTAAAGAGCCAGGCCTTATACAGCAGGACCAGGCTTAGGGGTAACTTAGAGCAGCCTGCTTATACCAAAGATCTTCAGTTCTTGCGATGAATTCATAGGCTAACAAAAAGAAATAGCATTCCTTGGTACCTGTTCCCAAGCCTTCCATACCAGGGATGTCATCACCAAATCTGCAGAGGAAGAAAGGGGGGTGGGGGAGAGAGAGGAAATGTTCTAGTGAATGTTTGAATTTTATCACTTGCCTGTGGGTCTTTACTCCAATATGTGCAAATACGACCACTTTATGGAACTCCATTGAGCTTAAGAGGAATGGTTATTTTTCCATACAAAAGCTTACTATGTATGTCTCAGGTTAACTGCAAACTGCAATTATCTTCATGCAGAGCAGAATGTTCACTGAGGGGAAATGGGCAAAATTACTGCAGACTCCTTGAGTGACACAACCCACACATAATGCAAAGGCTACACTCGCACTGTCATTGCAGTGGCTAACAACACTCAGTGCAATAGTGGTGTTAACAATGATGAAGATGATTAGATAGAGCACAAAGGTTTCAGCTCTCCCTCCACCACCACCCCACTCACCCAACTAAATGATTAACCTTGCTATATATTTACAAATGATGTAAAACCAAAACTGAATATATATGATCTCCATAAAGTACATGTTATGTGTATGTGTTGAGGATCTGCATATGCACAAATTAAATTAGAAACCATCAGTGCCAGTGGCATCGTAACAGAATTAGGACCAGGCCCGGAACTGGCCATTTTTGTGCTTTCGCTACCTGAAGAAAGTGCTGCAGCCGCCCTTGTGCTACATGCACATTGACTTCAGTCCCGGCACACAAGAAAAGTGCATTGTAGACCCACGGGAAGCTTCCTTGTGCAGAATCTGGTCATTGGTCTATCTAGCTGTGTATCGTCTACTGACAGTCTGGTGGGGACGCTCCAAGGTTTTGCACACCCCTCCCTAGAGATGCCAGGAATTGAACCTGGGGTCCTTGACCCTTCCTTGAGGTATGGCTGTTGTTTCCCCTGAGGCAGGGGCTTAGAAGATGCACATTGACCTGAAACAATCTTCCTGTGTGTACAGATATGGGCAGAAACTTCCGGCCCAATCCTATGGACACTTTTTGTAGAAGTAGGTCATGTACATCAGAAATGCCGCCTAAGGAGGTTTTTATGCCAGCAGTTTTCCTGGGATTCCTTGGTACAGCTGGTGTCACGTTGCTGAGAGGTGCTCCATTTCTGCGCTTGGGTGCAGGAAAGGGACTTCCTTATGAAAAAGGAATGAGCTTCTCCATGGCTTTGGAAGAGACCATGATGAGAAGCACATGGCTAAGAGTGGCTGCAGTCAGTAGCTTCTGTGGTGCTCATAGAAGCAAATGAGTACACTCACCCTTGGAGAGTGAGCCCATCTACTGCTTGTCAGGGAAATTTTCTAAGTAGGTAATTTTTTTGGCAGAAATGAATATTACAAGCATGATGGAGCCTTCCTGAGCAACTGATTGATTCATACAGCAGGCTGACATGCTGACTTTTAGGAAAATATTCTGTTCTTCATGGGTGCAAATTGAAAGCTCTGCCAGCTCCTGGGAAAAGAACACTGTGTTGGGGATGCCCTTACATTGTGTTCAGTTGTGCTTAAAAAGGACAGTAGCCTGTGCCACTTGCATTCATGATGGCTCTGTATCTGCTTGGTAGAATCAGATGCAGCGCCACGTCACCACAGATTGGCAATCTGCCATTTGTAGACCATGATCGTCAGGACGATTTGATCCTTTACTTTTGCGCATTCTCCTCCTTTGTTTGTCCAAGTCCTTGAAAATTCTTTCATTCAGAGTAATCTAAATATCCTGGGGAAACCGGGAGCCATTTGGGGATGGGGTGAGAAGGAGGAGAAAGAAATGCTACTGCAATTTGCCCAGAAAAAGCAAAACTCAGTGACCAAGGCATCAGTTTGCAGACTAAGCAGAGCTCACGTGGTTGGAACTGCATGAGGATAAGAGACAGGACCTAAGCTGGCTCTACCCCCTCTGTCGCCTCTTCACTGCACAACCGCATCAACGCCCTCCACAGTTTAGAGGCGAAGCTCTGAGGCACAGTTCCAAATCTAGCAGAGGGCCACTGTCTGGAGAACCAGGATCCTGCCACAGGCCTTCATCCCTGACGTGCAGACAACAAGGAAGCAGCGCTAGCAGGGGACACGACGGTGGAGGTGGGCTCAGAGAAGACAGTCCCACTTTCCTTCCCTGCTTCCCAGGTGATTCTACTTGTGTGAAGGAAGCAATGAAGCAAGTTTATGTATCTTCTTCAACTGGCCTTGGGGTATACAGCCCTGAGCCTAAAAGGTTGGTTTTAAAGCTACCCCTGGAACAGTAGGGATGTTGACCATAACAGTGGTGGATAAAGAGGCCTATGGTTGCTTCTGGAGGAAAACAACATCAATCCCCCTTCCCTCAAGAAAACATTCATTTCTCACCCTTGGATACCCTTCTTCGGTGGTTTGCTCTTGAACTGCCTGGTTTGCCTCTGCTTGAATTTGGGGGGTCCTTTCCTGGGAGAGACAGGCCCTCCAGTCACTCTGGTGGCGGATTTGATCTCAGCTTTGGGAGGTTCGAGACTCATGGTTGTGAGGGGATGCCACCGCGTCCCCCTCAAAAAAATGGATTCCTGTGGGTTAATCTGTTATGAAGAAAAGAAGAGAAAAATAAAGCGTAAGTTTAATGTGCAGCGAACAATATACTATTGCTGGACTCTGCATCTCCAAAGGGTTTATTTCAGACTTGAACGGAGATCCCTAGAGAAGAGCTTTCTAGATTAGGAGGCACATCTTTCCTTTTCTTACTAACAATTCTTTTTAGAGTGTGCCATCTTGTAGACCTCAAATATGCAGGGGTGAATTCTTATTTGTTTCATTTTTGTACCAACCTAGAGCCAAAACTCTCTTCATTCACAGACAAGGGGACACCCTTAGTACACCGAATACTTTTCCCACTATCACCACTTCAGGCCAGTGTTGCATTTTGGCTGTTAGGACTTTCTGAGGTACAATTCCACACTCCTTTGCTTTAGTTTGTTTTATTGTGATGGCTCTACACACTTGTGCTCAGGCCAGTGTGTGAACCGGACAGTCTTGATGCAGAAAGACCAGTTTCTAACATATGATAGTATATCAATTGCAATGCCTGGAACCAGTATTAAATAGGAGCTTGGAATCTAGGAAATATTGTGGGACGGGGTTATTCTAGGCCCTGGCAAGGCATGGCTTCTTGTAAGCCTTTTTCCGTCATACTGTATCAAGAGCCAGTGTAGTGTAGTGGTTAAGAGGACGGGACTGGGACTCTGGAGAGCAGGGTTGTAGTCCCTGCTCAGCCATGAAGCCCACTAGGTGATTTTGGGCTTCAGAGACTCTCAACCTAACCTACCTCACAAGTGGTTGTGCTGGCATCTTTGCAAGAGGAAGAAAGGCAGGACTGAAATGCAATATAGTGATGATAATAATAATATACTTTCACCACTCCAAATTGGAGTAAGACGAATAGGGCAGATGCACGCAAGCATGCTCTTGTCCAGAGAGTCCTTTGTCTGCTCCAGTGACTGGGCGCATGTGGCTGTGGCTGCGGCAGCTCGCTGCAGTATGGGCAAAAAGGGGGACCAGCAGGCCTCACAGTGCAGAGAGCCCGTGGGCAAGCCCTACATTTGCTTTGGCGTAGACATGCAAGCAGAAGACCCAGGGCTCTGTCTTGCAAAATGCATAACTGGCAAGTGGCTCCTGTCCAGTTAGGATGGGGTGGCTCCCTAGGTGCCGTTCCCCTCAGTCCCAGCCAGTACAGCCAATGGTGAGGGCTGATGGCAGTTGTCATCCAGCAACATATGGAGGGCCAGACATTCTGCACCTGAGCTAGGACATGGATAAATGGACCATTGGTCTGATCCAGCATAGCATTTCTTATGTCCACATTCAAATCCTTAAATAAATGCTAATCCGATTAACAGTTTTCTCCCTTCCATATCCTTCAGCCCTTTAAACACCTCTGCTAATATTTACACTTGCTCACAGGATTATCACTGGGGAGGAGAAAGGACTTCCTTTTCGTTCATCTGGCATTACCAGTCCCCGCTGAGAACTGCTGTATCTCCTTTCATGCTAAGGTCACCTCTGCTACTCCTAGCTTCAGCCATCTTAAATCTTCCCACTAGAATCACACTGATCAGGGAATTATATTCTATAAAAGAAGAAGACTGCCAGCTCTCCTGCTGTTTTGAGAATGCTATTTTTAAATCCAAGTTCAAATTAAATTGAAAACAAATGCTTATATTTACGTTACTATTTTTAATTAAGAAAAATTAATCAAAACATTCATGTCTACTTTTCTGCTCCAGTATCCAGTGGTATTTATTTATCGTTATTCACCATGTCCATGGGTATGGTCAAGCAACAACAAGCTATTCAGTTTTTGCAGCCTAATCATTTGCTAGCAGTTCTCCCAAATTCAGTTTGAGCAGTCCTATTAAATTAAAACATGCATAGCATGGCATCAATTTCAGTCATCCTAACAATGAGATGAAAAGGGTTAGCTTGAGAGGTGTTGACTTGTCTAAAGCTACCCAGTGATGTTGCACAGCTGAGCAAATATTTCCATGAAACACAGTATGCGACCCACTGCGCCTATGGGGACTCCTCCTCTAGTGGCATATGCATTTCAAGGAACACACCTAGTGGACCCAGATGAAGCTGGGCAGTACCTGGAATAAACAGTCTGGTGACTATAGGCCACCTAAAAACTAAAAGACGCCGTTACTTACCAAATCCTAAAGGTGTCCTGCTTTGAACCGCTCTGTCCTGTGTGGGTACCTCAAGCTTGCCACAGCTTGAGGCTTCAAAGGGGCTGCCAGATTTATGGAGCTCCTCATAATAGGATTATGAGTCTTGCTTTTAATCCAGTGTCATCCGCAATGATAGGCACATTGTTTCTGGACTGTGTATTCAGAAGAGGGTTGAAGGTGCCAAGGTAGGGGAAACAATTTCAACAACATCTTTGTAAAAGGATAAAATATCTGCCACTATTTCTGTGGCCGCAAGGCAGAATGTTACTTCATCAGCATGCCACCGTGTACCCCTTACAGCAGTCTGGAAGGTTTGAATACTCTTGGGCCGATTTCTGGAGCAGTGACCCCGTTAGTAATGAATTGCAATATTCAAAAATTAGCACAGGGACATTGCAACCTACTGAATTAAAATGGTCAATCTTGAACAAGGGAGGCTGCAGCACAAAACTTTCAGATTACTATTAATGAGGAAGTTCAGTCCTACTGTAAGCCTTAAAACAGGGCAGAAGATACTGTGGGCTTCCAGATGTGGCTGAATACCAACTTCCATCAGCCCCAGTCACTAGTGAGTGATGATGGGAATTGGGGTCCAAAAGCTAAAGGACCACATGCTCCACAGCACCGCATTACACAACAAGTATATTTATGTAAGGAGATTCATATATGAAAGGCTGCCTGTGGGAACATCCCATAAAATAATGGATTAAAGGTTTATGGTGTTCTCTTTGTTTTTAACATTCCTATGGATTTTACTTTTAGTTTTAAATTTTAGTACCCCAATGTTATGTCACTGCACCAAATTAAATATAAAGCAAAACTGGAAAGGGGTTTCTTTATAGAACAACCTGGATTCATTTAGCATAAAACTTGCTTGGCTTAATCCTATTTGTTAAAGTCTAGGTAGCAGTAATTAGCAGAAGCTTCGGTAGTTCCATTAAAGTCTCCTGAGATTAGGCTGTCTCTGAATAGCTTTGAAACTGTGGGTTAGAAAGGGATATTGTAAGTGATATTGTTCTGGCTGGCAGGCAGGGGACAATGATGCTTCATGTGGCTTTTCTAGAAGAGACCAGAGGAAATGCTACATTTTGCACAGGTTTTCACCACACTTTGAAATGGGTTTCATGGATTTTACAGATAAGAAGTCTATTGTTAGCTACCTTGCCTTTAATGAATTTCCCCTTCTTAGGATTGTCAACTGATTCCTTTAACAGCAGGTTGTTGAGCAGGCATGAGCAGGTAATCGCACTTCTGTTCATTCAGAGAAAAGTTTCATCTGCTGATTCCTGCCATCATGTAGCCACTGGCGGTATAGGAGCAGGCCAAATGGGTTTTGCCTGTTCAGTTGGCAACCAAAGGAAGCAGCACTGCTGCCCAGAGTTCCTCAGGCTCTCCTCTGTGTGTGTCATGCTAACAGGCATTTCCTCAACAACTATCATACGGAGCACTCCTAACTCAGTCCGCATCTCTGTGTGTACTGGGGTTTCAGCCAGTACACACAGAATGCCAGTGTGGCGTAGTGGTTAAGAGCATGGGACTGGGACTCAGGCAACCTGGGTTCTCATTCCTGCTCAGCCATGGAGCCAACTGGGTGGCCTTGGGCCAGTCACAGACTCTCAGCCCAACCTACCTCACAGGGTTGATGTTGTGTGGGTAAGATTGGCGGGGGGAGGGGGGAGGAGAATGATGTAAGTGGCTTTGAGTTCTTTAAAAAAATAAAAAGATGGGATATAAATTTAATGAGCAAATAAACAATAAACCATGGGGGCCCTTCTAGCCTAGGGAGTGGCACTGATGGATCCCCCAAAAAGACGGCACAGCTCTGCATACACTGTCCACATGCTCTTTTACATCTACAGATGCAAATGTAAAAACAATCGACTTTGAAATATCTCTTACCATTGTGGGGGACACTATGGCCAGGTGGTCCGTGTGCCTGCACAGTCTGTTATTCAGTCAGTGGGCAACTTCAAGGCCTTTCTGTTTTCCCTTGTGATGATTCTTTATCTTTAAAGCGGACTTAGATTGGGCAGCCCTTCAAAGCAAGGAAACCCTCCCCCACTTTTGATGCAAGTTTTCTTTTTTCTGTAGAAGTCAATACAGGCCATTCATTTGTATGGAGCAAAAGTAAGGCACGGAAATTGACAGCACTACTGAAGTGAGTGCAAAATCCATCCCCGACATCCCTGGTCTTCTCTCAGCTGTGAGCCCTTCATGAGAAAGCGGAGGATAGTCAAAGGCATGCACTTCCATAACCTGTCCCAGGTCTCTTCTACAGGCGGCTGTAAGTATTTTGTTGTAAGCCGTCCCGAGACGTCAGTGGGTTATAAAAGCTTAAGAAAAAGAATTACCACAGAAAGTGCTTTGAACTTCCCAAAAAGGAAGCGCCATCTTCTTCATACTGACTGGTGGTTTTCTAGTATACATTTCTACCCTCTGTTGGCACACTTGATCTTCTTTCCATCCATACCTTCCCCACATAAGCTATAAAAAAGCAATTCATCTTTTCTTCTCTTTGAAAACCACAAGCAGCAATAAGTGCTTTGGATCAATGTAGCATCATTATTTGTTTTATTATAAACCATCTGCAGAAGGGAAAACCAAACAAACAAGCTGAGAAACTTAGATTGTAAGTGCTTCTGGACAGGGACCTGTCATTTTTGCCAGTGTGCTGTAAGGGTAGAGTGCTGGACCAAATACCACACAGACCCAGATTCAAATTCATGCTTAGCTATGAAGATGACATCCGGATGTCAAAACAAATCAACACAGACAGTAACTGGAAGTGTAGCTCATAATCCTTATTGTTCCAAAATCCACTATTAGGGCAATTATCTTTTTAGAGCAATTGAAGGTCACAGAATAGTATGCAATCTTAAGGGCTCTCCAGATCCTTTCATCAGACAAGGTGGCTTTGCCTGATGAAGTGTTCTGGAGAAAGAACATACGCAGAGCCCTGCTGGATGGGACCAAGGGCGAGGTGGCCGAGTGGTGAAGGCGATGGACTAGAAATCCATTGTGCTGTGCACGCGTGGGTTCGAATCCCATCCTCGTCGGACTTTACTTTTGAGCATGACTGGGAAGTAGCACACAGAGCATCTGCTTGGGTTGGAACCCCACTGTGACCAGGAGATTAGAAATCCGTCCACACAGCGGCCAGACTAGCTGCCCACGGGATCCCTCAAGCGGGACCTGAGTACCACAGCACCATCCTGTCCCAGTTCCTCAGCAACTGTGCACTTAGGCGCACTGCCTCTGAGCCTTTGTACTATTTTGTTGCCCTGAGTTGACCTAATAGAAGGAGTGGCCTAAGAATGGGTTTTGGAATGTTTCCTATGACCAAGCATGGCCACCTTTGCTTTTTGTAATCATTATAAAAGCACCTTAAATTTTAAATGGCTATATAGATATTAAAGGTAATACAATCAGACATGATGCAGAGGGAAAAAGGAAAGGTAGTTACAAAAGTGTACTAGATGAACAAAGGGCCGAATGCAGATTGAAGCAGCTTCCTATGGTCCTGACGTAGGTTCACACTGGATCACAGCATAGAAATGTTTCCACCATCCATTATTCACACTATGGCATGGAAATGACCTGTATTTAATCCCCCTAAGCCTTTATGCTTAGACACTGATGGAGGAAGAGGCTAATGGATCTCTAACGGTTCAGCCAATGCTATACGGCTTTGCGGGTAAAGCCAGAGCTGTGGTCTGAAAGCACATAATACAACAACCTTGCTCAACCCACACAGCTCTGGGTCTGGTCGGTATCTGGGCAGATCTTTTGAAGATCCCATTTTCACTGTGGTGAGTTCTACAAAAGATAATCAGGAAAACAATAAAATGAACACATGTGTGACACAGAAAGACTTAAGCTGGTCTTGGCTGTCCCAGTGAAACTAGGACTTCTTTGCTCCTGGCACCCCGGCTATGGAATGTGCTCCCCAGAGAGGTCTGCCTGGCACCATTACATGCTTTTCGGTGCCAGGTCAAGACCTTTTTATTCTTCTGTACTTTTAATGTTGAATTTTAAATATGCTTTATGCTCAGTTCGTGGATCATTTGTATTGTATTATTTGGGCATCTATGTATTTATGGGATTTGAACTGTAAGCCATCTTGAGACCCACTGGGTATTGGACAGGGTAAAAATTACCCCAATAAATAAACAAACAAACAAAAACCATCCATGAGGCCACTGTGATTCAGTTATATTGCAGGGCAAAATGATGCAAGTAACAAAACAAACCATAGTTCACAAGTCATAGAGAACAGGAACCACATCATTTCAAGCACAGTAGTTTAAATTTAAACTAGAATATTTAATATCTAAAATATTATGGATTCTTAGTTGGGTCTTCCCCCAATAGGGGAACCCTAAAATTCATAAATACTTAGAAGCCTGAAGCTTCTTATTGAGGAAGGACTGGAAATAAATAGAATTTTATTGTTGTGGGGTACACAAGCAGTTATGTAATTGCACAAGGTAAACAGTTTCAGTCTTTCTTCATGCGGAATCGGATTTCCATCTTCAGGATCATTTTGATATTCTCATCTTGTATGTGTTCCTCAACAGCTGCTAATGCCTGATCACCACCATCCTGGTAATATTTCAGAAGTTCTTCTGTATAAGCAATCCACACACAGTTGTGGCATCCAGACATGCAACAATTTGTGGGAGGGAGAAGTGTTGGTGGTTTGGAAAAAAGAGCATCTTTGTCCTTTGGGGAGATGGCCTCCACTTCCTCAGAACTAGACCCTTTGTCCATTTGGGAGGGAGCATTTTGTGAACCATTGCCTTGGGCATCTCCATGGATGTCACGTTGTCCATTCTCTATCAATATTGCAGGAAGCCTCCGTGTATTAACTAACCAATGACAGGACCTGTCCAGGAGCGAGGGCATTGCAGTACCACTGTCATGGGGATGCCTGAACAGATACAAGGTCTCCTAGCAAGTACAAAAGCAGAATAATATTTCAGTTCTAATGAAAAAATGTTCTGTACACTCTTCTCCTGTTCCAAGTATACCTAGTCAATCCCACAGAATCTAAGCAGTGCTAGAATAAATTTACTTATTCTGGAAATTTGTAATTTCAATACAAAATTTGCAAGAAAATAAATTTACCACAACAACATCATCAAAAAGAAAACTGAACAGAGACTAAACAGGAGACAATAAAGCCAAATTAAATCAATCAACCACTTTAAACTTCAAAAGCCTGTCAGAAGTCCATTTAAAAGGACCAAGATCTTGATTTTGGCAGATCTCAGCAGACATTTGCTTTCAAAATTAGGAGGGGAGCATCAAGGTAGAGAGCTACATATGGCAGATCTGGATTCAGATCTCATCTGTGCCATGTGTAAACAGTAAGTTGTTCTTAGAGAGCCAAAACCCAACAAGTCCTGTTGAATTCCTCATACTTTCTCCTTGGTGTTTAATAGTGACAATGCTAAGTAATTGGAAAATTGATTTTTGATTATTTTTTGAAATATTTAAAAATATGTCACAGATTGGAAAAATTAAATAATTGTTTTAATTTGCCACGGTAAGTCTGAATTTGACATGACCGATTCATTACACTGAATAATGAATACTGAACGTGGTATATAAACTGTCCATCGTACTGTGCTTCACTCTTTCAGGAGTATTTTCTTCCATATCTTCCCCCACCCCTGCTCTTTTAAGATCCAGCTCTGGGTGGCTACATTACTTATGAGGCTACCGGCCACTGCAGAGAGAGCGCTGATAAGAGATTAGTTCTCCATCCTGTTTTCTCCCCTTGCCTAACCAGACCGTCTCCCATTGGCTGCCTTCCTCAACCGGGTGCCTTCCGGATGTGCCTCAACAGAACACTCGTCATGCCCACAGGGGCTGAGGATGATGGAGACTGTGCTCCAACGTGGCTAAACAGCGCTCCTTTTATTTTTCTAGCGTGCCCTGACCCTCACTGCTCGAGCGCGTGCCGCCCTAGGCCCTTCTCTCTCACCTGCCCAGCAGCCGCGCCACCCCGAGGCCCCACCAGCCCGCGGCTACTCCGCACAGCGCCCAGAAGCATCTCCCCCCGCGCTCTCCCAGCAGCGGCTCTCCGTCTTCCGGCACACCAGCACTGACATCCCCCTCATCCAATAGCCGCAGCGGGTCCCGCTGGACGTGATTCCCGTGCAAAAGAGGCGTGGCCAGACAACGCGACCGATCGAGCCAATGGAAGGGCCTTCTGGGCGGGGAAACTGGCGAGACGGGAGATGGAGCGGAGGAGGGCGGGGCGCGGAGCGCCGCGCTGACGGCCGAGGGCGCGCGTTGGGCGGAAGCGGGGGCATCGCACGTGGCGCCCGCCGGCCTGCCGGGGGAAGGATGGGCAAGTCGAAACAGCGGGCTGCGGCGGTGTCTGCTGCCTCGCGGAGGGGCGTGGTGCCAAGCGCCAGGTCAGTGTCCATCCCGTTTATCGCATTTCAAGACTTTCAAAACACCCCCGGTACATTTTGCCCGTGTATCTTTACAACCGCCCTGCAAGGTAGGCCAGTGTTAGTCTCCTCATACCGTAGATCTCGAACAGAGACGGAACATGGATTCCCTAATGCAGCCCAGTAAATTTACCGCTGATGTGAGATTTCGGTTGAGTACTTCTTGGTTGATAAGGCGCATTCTTCGCCCTCATGATCGCTTATTGGTTGCCTTACTCGTTGGCTTTGTTTTTATGGCTGTATTTTTTTCTTGGGAGTCCAACTGATTCAGGCACTTCTACATGATTCCCATAATTTATTGTCGTGATAAGTAAGCAAAGGTGACTTACTTCACCGTAGTTGACTGTCCCTTAATTGGGATTGTTGTCTTTGCATCTCCTACTCTGACGCTGAGGCAGATCTAATAGAGAAAAAGTGCAAAATAGAGATTTGGACTTTTCACCATTGCTGCAGTCCAACTCTGGGAAAAAGTGTCACCTTTTCAATGTTTGTGTGTCATGCAGCTGCTAGATGTGCAGTAGCCATCTAGTCACGTGCCCCTGCAAGTTCTGTGAAAAACAAACAGCACGGAGAGCTGTTTAAGTTGGGAAGAAAGAGTGGTATCTTGATGCCATATTCTACTTCCCACCTTCTCTTCTGTGCAGAGAATATTGGTTGGAATCCAACAGAACTGATGGACAACAGGTTAAGGAAGGTTGCTCTAATCCCATGACTTGAGCTGGTCCTTTACACTACTTGATTCAGATTGTGCTTATGTCATTTTACCAAAACAAATATTGAGGTTACAATTGATGCTAACTGTTGTAATTTCTAAGACAAAATGTGGGACATGGCCCAGACTTCTTTCCCTCCTTTTTTTAACTCTAAGCAAAATGAAGAAGAAAACCAACTCAAAACCAAAATGCCTGAATGAGCAAGAAATTCCATATCGATTGAGAGAAATCATGAGGAGCCGTGATGAACTGAGGAACCCTAAGAGCAAGAAGAAAAAGAAAATGGGTAAAAAGCAGTCCCCAGCCATGTTTCTTTGACATATGAATTACGGATTGTGCCTTTACCACAATGTTACATGTGCATAATATATATCTGTGTAGTTTTGCAATTCCATGTTGAAATTATGCTTGGGGAGGGAGGCATGGGGAAGTAGTAACAGCGCAAAGAGTGCTCCTGTACTGCAGACCGTCTATTGCAAGCAACAACTTCTGTCCTATTTTTCACAGAGGGTTAGAGAACATTTCATAGAAGATGCTCTTAAATAAAAAAATATGGGCATTAACAATCTGAAAGTGAATGGATCCAAGTGTAACTTAATCCTATAGTTGATTGCTGTCTACTCTTCTCAGCTAGCTACACAGCTATGATATTTTTGGCCTGTGGAAATCCATGTGAGCTAGACAAGAGATAACAGTCACTTGTATCCTACAGGTCACAAAAACTGGTTTGATGTGCTTTTCCAGCCTGGACCACGTCCAAACAAACAGTGTTGGAGACATTAGAGACAGAGCTTGAGTTAAGTTCAGTTAAAGACAGTGTTCTGAAGAATGAAAGGAGTTAGAGTTCTCCTCTCTTTTGATGAGTCAGATCAGGTTACTAGCTTATGCTTTTTTTTCCCAGCAAGCAAAGAGATGCCTATGCTGGAGAGTGACATACCAGTGCCAAAATTCAGAAGGCGGACAGGGGAAACGGCATCTTCCTATGTCAGGCGGATGGAGCGGGAAACGCAACACGTGCAGTTCCTTACCAAAAACCAGCTACAGCGTGAACCTGAGAAAGAAGAGCCCATTCAAGAGAAGTCCAAAAGGAAAAAAGAGTAAGTTTGAGTATGGATTAATTTGTGGCGCTTCACTTAGGGAAATAGAGGAGTCTATAAATATGACTCTTGACATGAAACCTTCACCCAGTGGATGAGGATTGAATCCAAATTGCTCTGGTTTACAGGTGGAAGACTATTCAGAGAACAATTGCAGAGAATCTAAACTCTCAATACCTGTAAAAGTTTATTTTAACTTGAGTATGTATGCATGTGAATACAAGCAACTTCTTGAACACTCTGTTGGTTATTCCACAGTCTGGTACCCTCCAGACTGCAGTTCCCACGATTTCCAGTCAGTGCTGCCATTGGGCATCCCCAGTCCTCTAGGGCCAAATCCTTGACGTCCTCAGCAGTATTTCTGAGTTCATCTCAGGCAAGGAGACTGTTTGGCAACCAAGAGCAAGAACTAATGAGCAAATAGGTAAGATGGTAGACCTGGGCACATAAGCAGATTTTTACACTGGACCAACCAGAGGAAGCTGCTAACTGCCTGTCATTGTCCATGGTTTGTGATGCAGGAGTTGCCTGCAATGGTCAAATGGTAATATATTCAGTGGAAATGTGTTTTAGAATCCAGCTTTGGCCCTACAGCTTTTGCTGCTTCAGACTCTCCTCTGCTTTTTGAAGCACTTATTAAGACTTAGCTAGTGTTGGTGAATAAATGATACCCGGCGATTGAGCAAGATCAGAGTAGTGAATTAGACTGCCCTGTTTTGCCTATTTAATGACATGCTGCATTCACATCTATTTTATAAGTGCTGAGGGACCTTAAGCTTCATCTTATCCAGAAGAAGCTTCTGTTCTGTGTATATTAGACCCCACAACATCTCCTCAATGTAAAGGCTTGGCTAAATTGACTAACTGTTGGAAAAAAATGTATGCTTCCCTCACCCATATGTTTTGGCAATATCCAATAGATCCATCCTTTCGGAGTGGAGGTTTATACTATGGATAAATTTGGCACTGGAAACCTCTTTAATATTTGCAGATGTACATGTTTTACCTAACTGTCCGCCTGCTTCTTAGAACCAAACACAAGGTCAGTCTAAATGGATTTTCTGCCAAATGATAGCCAAGCAACTGATATTAGAACACTGGCCACCCTGGATAACTCTATGGGTTGAGGATTTAAAGACTGTTTCAACCTTTGAAAAGGTAGTACTTAGATGCCTCTTGTACATGAGTAAAGATAGGAATATCTGGCTTGCCTTTGTTGAAACCTATACATAACTACTTCTATGGATAGCAGTATATTTTCTTGTATACCTGTCGTTCCTAGGCTTATAAATTCCATGTGTATTAACTGCAACTGATAACATTTATGCAATATGAACTATTTGTTTTATGCTTGTTATCGTTTTTTGGTTTCCTTATAAGTTTCTGAAATTCACAATATTTTTATATGGAGCAAACTGAAGGACAGAATTTATGAAAATCTGAGATACTAGAGAGATACTAGAAGCTTGGGTGGGTCTTACTTGAGACCAAAGAGTCAGCAGATGGGCTATTGTGATGGTCATCTCTTTCCTCACCAACCTACCTTACCTGACTTGCTTGGGAGTAGAAGGTTCCTCCTGTCTAAAAAGTATAAGCTACCTGATTCCGCACAAGTTGAGCCAGCGGTAATTCCCACTGCATCCAGCAGAATGTGCTCCAGAATACTTGATAAAATGGCACATTGGTTCCTTTCTAGCACAACTGTAAGTGCTTTGGGGATCTTTTCATTTTATTTGGGGTCCCATTCTTCTCACGAAATGGAAGTACACAGTTCCAGTTATATCATTTGCTGAACCAAATTCTCCTTCTAGATTTCAGCAGAAGAAGCTGGATAAAATCCAAAAGCAAAAAGAGGAGAAAAAAATGGCAATGCTAGAAAAGGAGTTCCTGAAAGGTAGGAGGCAGTGATTTAACTTTTCAGTATACATCAGCGCAAAATGCATCAGTACACAAAATTACAAGCAACTAAAACTATTTTTAAAAATAAAGCAAAATCAATGTAAAAGTATTTAATATGCTATTAAATGCCTCAGAAAAGAAGGCAGTCTTGCCCAGGACCCTAAAGGGTGACAAAGTAGCTCTCAGGGGGGATAATATTCAGTAACTGGGGGTGCCCCCACTAAGAAGGCTTTCCCCCTTGTTGCCACCCTCCAAGCATCCCCAAGAGGTGGCCGCTGGAGGAGGATCTTTCATGTGGATAGTAGTGTCTGGGTAGGTTCAGGTAGGGAGAGGGCTCCATCAAGTATTGTGGTCCATTGGCTGTCTGGGCCATATTCCCCATACCTGACTTGGCTCTCCTCCTCCTGGTGCCAGCTCTTTCTTGACTCATCACCACACTGATTAGCTCCCCATGCCCTCTTTTTGAAGCATATACTTAGGCCCTTTAAGGGAATGCCAGTCTCCCACCAAGGACTCTTGTGTCACCCGACTGATCAAGATGCTCGGGGGTTCCTCTTGTCCTTAGGTCCTCCCCAAAACAGCATCTGCTTTACTGTCACCACCGCCACCCACAGCAGGGCTGCTTTTTACAGGCCTCTTGCCAGAGCTTGTCCAAGCGCAGTTGACGCCCAGCCACAGGAGACTGGGCCCAGCTGCACACACGGAGCAGCAAGCTGCTTCCGTTAAGCAAGTCACGTGCAACAGGCAAATGAACTTGAGCCGAAGAAAACCAAAAGATGGAAAGGTGCTTCTGCTGACAGATACTCAGAGGTGAGACAGAAGGGTTGATGTTGGCTGCCCACTGGTCAGCACCGCTCTGCTAAACTGCTTGTTGGTGCTGCTCCCAGAGAAGGCTGATGACATGAGCTTATATGATGATGCATACTTTATGATATTTGGATTGTTTATTTTAAATGTATAACTCCTCCATCCAGAAGCAATCCCAGGGTGGTACAAAGAGCACAACAAATGGAAATGCAGTGCAGTAAACAAGGTTGAAGTGGCAAGAGGAGGTGTTGTTGCTGTTAATTTTATTTCTGTAAAACCCTATAACTGAAGCTCTGGGCAGTTCACAACAGTACAGTAATAAAAATGGATATACTAAAACACAGTGTAAAATTCCAGTATGCAAAATTTAACATTTTAAATATCCAGAACAATTTCAAAGAATTTGACCTGATGAAACAGGTCTAAATTCAACCTAAAACAGATTGCCTATCCTATGTCATTAAATGACTAAGAGTAGAGGGCAGTTTGAACCTGATGCCAAAAAGATGGCAGTGTTGGCACCAGGTGGACCTCTGTGGAGACACACAAAAATGATTCTGCCACCAAGCAAATTAGTTAACAGTATTTAAAAGTTTTAAAGTGCCATGCTCAACAGGATCATTTTGATTAGTGTCAAGGCCAGGCAGATGCCAATCATCTCTCCCTTGGGAGGGTAGTCGAAAGCCAGGGTGCCACCGCCTAGGAGACCTTTTCTGTTGTAAATACATAACATTATTTCTCCCATAAATGGTACTTGGATAAGGGTTTCTCCCAAGTTATCCCAATTCATTGGGAGGATGATACAGTTCAGGTATTTAGACCTCCCAGCCAGTTAAGGATTTAAATAGGATAACCAGCACCTTGAATTGATCCTGCTAGCAATTAACCACTGTAATTCCTTAATAACTGCTCTATTAGAACAATTACAAATAAACCTGTCAAAATTCTAGCACACAGCAACTTCTGACCATGTGATTTAGCTGACTTGCCATTACTGAGTAGGCTTATCTACTCTGTTCAGCAAATATTTTAACAAAATCATTACTTAGGATTTTGTTACTTTTTTATCACCCCGCCCCCACTAACCTAACTTGGGAGTATTAGAACAAATGCACCAGGGTGGGGGAATGCAACTGTTTTTCATCACTAGTTCTGTGTAAGATTGGAAGCCCAGAGGCACCCTTTGGTGTTGAGCAACTGCTCTAGTATGTCACTGTGGAGGATGGGTTTGACCAGCTGTCCCCAACCTGGTGCCCCCCAGAAGTGCTAGACTACAGCTTCCAACAGTCTCAGGGTTCCGGAAATGACAGTGTCTTCATTTTCAAAAATTCCTAGCAAACCAAGTAGTTGCCTCTAACCAAATTTTCTCCTGTTTCTATAAGAAGGAAGCAGTTGGGTGCTGGTTTCTGCTGCTTTTCTGAAATTAGTGCCACTGTTCTTAAATCTATGAAGTAACAATCCCAGCTAAAGAAGAAGCTCTTATGTGGTATACTCACATTGTGCTGAATCCTGTGATTTAGAATGGTGCCAGTTGAAATGAAGCTTGGCAGTATTAGTAACATTTATGCAATGCATGGTGGTGATAATGCAAAGGATGGAGCTGGTTCTGTCTTTACAATAAAATTGGCCCATGCTACAATAAAACGGTTGCGTTCTAGACTAGACTTTGGGCAGGATAGTCTGTTTGGTTTATGGGATGTAGAAGCTCATTTCACACAACCCGTGGGTAACAAAAATGGTTTGTTTATGATTGCAAGTAAGTATGCATCTGAGAGGGATGGTTTAACTTGGAATCCCGCACTGAGCAAGGGGTTGGACCCAGTGCCCTTCTGGCCCCTTCCAGCCATATTCTATGTCTCTAAGACTCTGCGCTGGCTCTTGGCAACTTACCTGCTTTCAGAACCACCCAGAAATGTCCTGGTTGCGGCTTGATGTTGTGACATTTGAACCTGGCACTGTGGGCTGTTCAGGGTTAAACCACCCAGAGTTTTAAACCATGGTTTCTTGCTGGGTTAAACATGGCTTAGCACATCACAAGAACCACAATCTAGGAACAGGGTATTTCTGGCTTGTTTCTGCAAGTGGACTCAAAGCCAAAGTGGCAAGCGGGCTTATACAGGGCACTGTTCCTGTACAGCCCACTGATTCCTGGATTGTTTAACCAGGAACTGACAACTTGTGTAAACCAAGTCAATAGACAAAAGTTGGGTGTATTTTAGAGCGGCTTCCATCTCTGCAGTATCTGACTTAGTTTTATTTCTTTCTCATTCCTTCAGATTCAGTGAAATTTGGAGAAGTTGCTTTGCAACCCCCCACCCTTACAGTAAAACCAAGAAAAGGTGTCATCAAAGACAAGGTAAATAAGGCAAGGTATTCTAGCTCTCTCCTAATTTACCAGTGAGCTGCCTTTGCCCCATCCTATCTTCTTTTTTTTAAATTAATGAGCAGGAAAACTCGGGAGAGGCCATGAACTTGTGTTAGCCTAGCTTACATAAAGTGGTTTCCAAAGTTTGGGCTATTGGAGAACTGCTTCCTAAAGCTGACTCTCTGCTCATTCATGGTCATATTCTGGGTTCAGTTCATAACTCCTTTCCTCTTCACACATCTCAAGCTTCAGCCAGTCTCTTTCCTGTGTTCCAGGCTGGCCAGAGGCAGCTTCTGCTAACGTCTCTCTTGGGCTCTGGTAGAGCACCCTCCACTCAGAAAGCCGCTCATGCATCTCTGGCTCGCCAAAGGATTTTACAGGAGGAGAGAGAGCGAGTTATCCAAGCCTACCGGGACATAAAGCAACGCAAGCAACAGCAATTGATCAGGATGCAGCTTGATATGGACAAACTAAAGAAGCCAGTCTGAGTTGTTGGAGTGCTTCTGCCATTCCTAAACATGGAGCAACTTCGTACAAGCACACAACAGCATCCGGGTCTGTCGTGCAGTCAAGTGATCCTGTTTTGGAGGAGTCTATCCAGCCAACTCAGCAGGCTGATAAACTTGGGAGAGTTTATGGATGAGCATATGTTGCTCCTAGAAGTAGTCTGGATGCTTTTCAAGGCATTTTTCTTGGCCCAGCTTTGGAACTGCATAACCAGCAAAAATTGTTTCCACAGAGGATCAGCATCTCTGTTCCAGGAGCTCAAGAATGGAAACTGCTTCTTGGTCCAATCCTGCCTGGAAATTTTTGTTGAACATTTTATACGCGTGTGTGTGTGTGTGTGTGTGTGTGTGAGAGAGAGAGAGAGAGCGAGAGAGAGCGAGCGAGCGAGCGAGCCAGGGTGGTATAGCAGTTAAGAGCACAGAACTGGGACTTGGGGATCAGGGTTCTAGTCCCCACTCAGCCATGAAGCCAACTGGGTAACTTTGGGCCAGTCCTAGACTCTCAGCCCAGCCTACCTCACAGGGTTGTTGTTGTGGGAATAAATTTGAAGGAAGCGAGAGGGGAATGATTTGGAGTTCTTTGTAAGAAAAAAGGTGGGGTATAAATGTAGTAAATATTCAAGTTTGCATTTTGGGAGGTGAACATTTTTTCTATGTGACCTCTCTGGCTTACAAAAATGTAATGTGAAGTACTGAAAAACTATCTCGCTGAGGTGGATGGAAAGATAAAGATCTGTCTTAGAGTACTGTTCCTTAAATGCAAAATGAAGCACAGTAGAGATGTGTGAGGATGGCCCATGTCTCAGACAAGATACTATTATTCTCTTAAGCCTCTCTGTGCTACTTAAGAAACACAATTCTTTCAGGCTCTCTTCTGCCCTGGGTCAGCCTGCCACATGATCTCTGGAGCAGAAGTGGATCACGCACCCTTCTACAAGAAATGAATTGATTAAATCTTGCTTCCAGACAGAGTGGTTACCTCTTCTTTCCCCATCGCTAGGAAGCATGTCTTGTCCTGTTCCTCAGTTCTTGTTCTAGTTGCAAGGAGTTGCTTCCTCACTGAGACCAGCACTTGTCTGGATGGCAGTTTCCTGGGATAGGAACACCTGTGGGATAAGTCTGGCAGGGTTTCTGGGGTAGGATGGAAGAAGCTGTGCTCCTTGCTTGGAGAATTTTTCATTCAAGCTTGTAGTACAGAGCTGATGAAGCTGTCAAGCACAGCTAATGGTGAGGATGATAGGAATTGTAGGTGAAAAGATCTGGAGTGCCACAAGTTGCTCATCTCTGCTATAAAAGGAGAACATTGGCTTCCCTGCTTTCAAATCCTGTCCCACTTGCACCTGGGTAAGAACCGAAATAAACAAGAGCCTGTGCATGAAGGAAACTGACACAGTCAAATTGTCCTTTAAGCCTTCTGTGTGCAAAAACCATGTTGCACTTTACTTCGCTGTGCCAAAGCCCTACAGGCATCTTGCACACAACATCTTTCCTTTGCTTCTTTAAGATTTCGGTCCTCTTCATTCACTGCCAGGAGAATAAATAAACATACTTTATTTTAAATGAGATGGCATTAAAAAATGGGCTGCTGGTCCCTAAACAGAAAGGTGGATAGGAGAGTGTAAAGCAAGCTCTCATCCTGTGTAGCACAGATCTGTCAATAGGTGGCAGGATGTGCATACAAGCCCTGTGGATTCGTGGCTTGGCAGCGGCTTTGAAAAGTTTTTAGTCTTTAGGTTAATATAGCGGGAGCCAAGCAGAACTCTCCCGTGTACTCTCACGGATTCTCCCTGCATCTTTTGAATTGATCTAGTGTGGAATTAGGCTTCAGGTCTTGGCTCAGTGCTTGATGCTCTGAGATCTTGGCTAAACTTAAGGTAGCGTGAAATATTGGTCTAGTCTCTTTGAATTCCTCATATGCTTTCTCTTGAAGCATTTACTGTGCTCTAATCCCTGCATACCAGTGTTTTCCATTCCTTGTTGCTGAACGCCATTTGATTTGTCTGCAGGTTATCGTTGAGGTTTCTACAGCTGTAGAGTCTGCGAAGCTGCTTGGGGAGGTTGGGAGTGTGGGGAAGAGAGAGGGGCCTGCATGCCATTCAGCTTTGTTTATATGAGTGAGCACCCCGAGGCATGATTTTATTCACTGTGCAGCATCTTTACTCAGCAGAGAGCAAGTATGTGTGATAATGTCACCTTGCAGCGCAATCCAATACATTACTTAATTCTGATTCAGACCTGCAGTGTTCCAGGGAGACCTGTAAGCATGCTGGAGCAAGTATGCCTCTGATTGCTGTCTTAAAGCAACTGACAGATGGTGTCACAATGTCTGGAGTAGAAAAATGGATTTGTGCTGCAAATAAAAGAACTGGTGCTCCATTTGTTGCAAAGAACAGCACAGTCCCAAATTGTGAAGATGATGGTTTTGAATAGGCGATGACAGTAAAATGCACTAGTGAGCTTTTGACCCATACAGAATTCTTATTGAAAGAAATATTGTACAGTCATAAGAACCTGCTGCCCCACCAAAAATATTGGATATCTAGTAATATCTGTAGCTCATCCTCTGCCTTTGAAATGCATTGAGGTCATTGTTTCAAAAGGTGAAGTGCTTGGCTAGCCACTGTCTTTGGTAGCTCAGATCTCAAGTATGTTACAATAACACATGGCTGTGCTGGGGCCCTGGCAGGTTGTTCACCCCAGGTTTAAAGAAAAAATATTCTTACATGCCTGCAAGATACTCTGAGTTGACTTGGACAATCAGCTTGAGCTGATCCTAACAGTATCAATGCTGAAGGCTGAACATCAGAGTTCAAAGCTGAACTTCTAGAATTCTGTGGGTAAAACACACAGGCTTTCTTAGTAATGGTAGAGCGAAGCTAGCCAGTGTGTTAACATAAAGCTAGGAATAATTTTTATTAGATTTATATCCCACTTTCTTCTAATAACAAACTCAAAGCAGCTTACATCATTCTTCTGCTTTCTATCTTATCCCCACAACAACAACAACCCTGTGAGGTAGATTGGACCTAGAGTCTGTAACTGGCCCAAAGTCACCTAATTAGCTCCATGGCTGAGCGGGGACTAAAGCCCAGATCGTTTGAGTACTAGTCCCACACTCTTAACCACTGCATCACACTGGTTTCCTATTTTGGGTGACAGTTAAAGAAAGTTCATAGAAGTTTGGGTAGATTTATTTAGAAGCTGGATGATTCCTCACAGAATAAAGGCCCAGCTTCAGATTTGTTTACTTTGTTGTAAGGTTACACTGCTAAATTGGTAAATTTGATATTCTCCCAGTCACATCAAAAGCAAAGGGAGCCATGCTGGCTTTGCTTATTTCTGCAGTGCTCGCCTGATGAAGAGATCTCAAGATCTTGAATGCTTCCCCTTGCTTGTTATGCTTTGATTCACCAAATAAAGGTCATAGACTAACAGGTGTTAATTTCCAAGTAAGTATGTTTAGGATTACAGCCTTTATGCCTAAGGCTGGAGTTCCAGTAATGGGTGTGCAGAAATAAGTATCAACATCAATTAAGTCTCTGCAAAACATGCATAGATAGATTCTGTGTGCCCCATTTTAATTGGTGATGCTTATGTATATAATCCTAAATAGGTAAAAAGTATTTGATGCTTAGTCTATCCTGAATATTCCCTGTATGTCTATGCATGAAATCAATTCAGTACAAGATTTTATCTTATGCCTAAAACAAAATAGGTAACTAGGTCACAGAGTGTATGACTAATGTATTAGAATCACTGGTGAATTGGTGAGCTAACCAGTAGGAGTATATATACAGTGAGATAAGAACTGCTCAGTGGGAAATGGATCCAGGAATCCTGGAAGTATGTATATGAAGAAACAAAACCATTTTTCTTTTGAAACTTTGAAAGCACTGTTCAGAGTTATCTGTAAATTGAATCTGCTACCACAGTGGGTAACCAGGATCTGTAGGACCTATCTTCATTGTCCCAGTCATTTTGAAATGCTGGAGGAGAGGATCCTTAAAATTGTCCTTTTAAAATCACAGAATATGGTTCCTGGTTGACCAAAGGATAGCAGTAGCACTATCAAGATTAAAGGATTAGGAACAGAATAAAGAGAAGAGATCCGATCACTAATTTTTTGATGGCAGCTAAAATCATGATTGTTGAGTACCAGCAATCTCCCGAAAATCCATCAAGCAAAAAATGGCTGATAAAGGGGCTGGTGTTGGCAAAAATAGGCCACTTATCTGCAGTGGTTCATCTGAAGGAAGGGATAGGCTGAAATGTAAGAACAGCATTGTAGATCCTGGATTAATGCTTTTCACAGTGAAAGGATGATTAAAGTATTACATAGTAAGAGTGAGAACGATGAGTCATAGGCAGTCATTGGTCTGCATAGAGAGGGGTGGGTGAATGCGTGTGTGTGTGTGTAAGAGAAAGAGAGATTATTGAAGAGTTTTTTGGGGTTTTTTAAAGTGAGAACTGGGAGCAAGCTGCCTTCATAACGAGGAACCCTTTGCTGACTTGGGAAATGTTCCAGCCTGGTGGCTCACCACACGGGCAGCTGTGCGCAAAGCCACGGGCTTCCAGATCTAACACAAACAGCTCTTGACAATATTCTGTTTTAAATGGCTGAGTCTGTAATCAGTGCAGGTGATTAGCATCTGGTTTGAAATTTCTAGCCCACCCCTCACTTTGTGGTGCTGCTGTTAAACATGGGTTTATCCTTGTGCCTACTTCCCTACAATGCAATTGTAATTGTATTGTTCAGCCTTTTTATGGCATGATCATTTTTCAGTTTTTCTCTTTTTAAAGAGACCCGTGGCTCATAGTTCATGCAATTTAATATGCAAGTCTTAAAGGAAAACCTTAGAACACTGCTTCAGAAACCAGTGGAGCCTGCAACAAAATGTGGCAGCGTGAATGCTTCTGTTCAGTGTGCCAGGCCCTCTTTCGCCATTCCACCTCCCCACTTTCCTGGCACTTCTCCCACCCCTTCACCACCAACATTCTGTGGTGGTTCTGGCCTCCCCATTTTTATGGTTTTGCAAATCATGGAGTTTCCCCTAAGCCCTCTGTTTTCTCCCTCTCATGGGTCAGTTTCTGGGGTCTCTATCCAGATTTGAGTTTTTATTAGTATGACAAGATTATGTTGGAAAGATGCTGAGATTCACAGGATCGTGTCAATACAGAGTTGAGGCACTTGAGAGAAAAACTTCCTTATACAAGGAGGAAGTGGTTTCAAAAGGTGGTTCATCTTATGTATCCTGATGCGAGAGCATTCGCTTGACTGTATTTTAGGAATGCACTCTGCCCTAAGGCTCAGGATGCATCTCGCTCATTTTAGCCTGGATTTGACAGGGTTTAGACAACATAACTCAGAGTCAGGGCTTAAATATGAGCTGTGGTTGAATCATCATTGGTTACTGCTGAAATGTGGGCTATTGCTTTGCTCAGTCCAGCTATTAATCACAAACACCCCATGAAATAAACCATGGGTTGTGGATGCCGAACTCTTCACCATGGTTTGCTGCTTCACTGGGTTCAAGCAACATGATAACTCACACATAACCCATGTTCAGCCCTTGTGTGGGTGTTAATTGTGTTCCCTGAACCCAGTCTTTCTGGACATGCGTTTTTTTGCTGAGTTTGTCTGCTTTGCTCTATTTTTCAAGCTGAAAATATCCTAGGCCCAAATATTTTAAGGTGTTCTTCTTTTAGTTCTTGCATTGTCTGAGACATAACTAAGAGGACAGGGCATATGTAAGAGGAGCTTTTCAATGTGTTTGTTTAAGTATCAGGTTTCTGAGCTAAGTTGTGTTTGCACAGGTCACAGAAGGGTTTGGGGTTTTCTTGCTATTTTTCAGTCTTGTTTACTGGCTTGTAGTTCCGCATAATCTTTTTGTCTCCCTTCGAAGAAGCGTTATGGCTTTCCCTTCAGTGTGAGCAAATCCCTCCGCCCTCTCAGACTGAGGCTGTGATTGAGAACACGTCTGCGACAGCACAGTATGGATTGCTATGAAGCCGTGTGTGGAATATGCATAATATGAGAGTGGGAAACGTGCATAACTATAATTTTAAAAAATCAGCAGGTGTCTAATGACATTGACAAGTGGCATGAAAGACTAAATGAGGTTTTCTCTTTTCCGGTACCACAGACAACTGACATGTGGATTGAGCTGCCCAATCAACATTTCAAAAATAAGTGACATTTGAGTTTGATGGTTGCCGTACACTGTCTACAGACTGCCATCAAGAAGGGGTAATTTAAAATGCAGGCATATAGGCAGTGTGTTTGGAGAAGCTGTCATGCTCTAGAATGCGGGGCATTCCCTTCAACTTAAGCAATTTCTCCTTGTTCATAATCAATTTAAAGTGAGTCCTAACAAAGAATACCTAAGGCTGGAAATCTGAAAGGTGAAGTGGAATGAATTTTCTGGGCTAGATTGTTCCACTTCAGACTGCAATGGGGGGATTTCAGTTGTATTGTTTTCTATTGCTCCCTTCCTCAGTTGTATTTGCATTAAAAAGTTCTTTCTCCCTGACAGGCTTGCTTTTTATGTGCAAGGTTGCTGCTGTTGCTTTGCTGTGGATAAAAATTTGGAGATGAACACCACCTGCTGTTTGTAGTGGTACAGCCTGGAATCATCTTTACCACTTAGTTTGCTGTTCATTGGAACTGGATGGTGAAATTGTGACTGCTGATATTACTCCACTCGGTCAAAGCTTCTGCCACTCGAGGAAACAGTGCAGATGCAAAAGAAATGTTTCCAAATTATATGAGTTTTGAAGGGAGACACATTTTCCTACTTCAGTTTAATATGCTAGAGGTCTCTGTTCACCTCTAGCCATATGTAACAAGTGATGGCCACAAATGGCCACCTCTTTATCCAGAACACCTTCCAGGCAGTTGGATGCTCCTGGATTGTTCTCGCATTTAGACCAGCATCTGCAGCCACTTTGGCTATGTATGTGGAAGACTGCTTCAACAAAGTCTGCTTGCTGGTTCAGAGCAAACGGTCTGGTTTTTTTTATACCCACATTTCAGTCTATTGTTATCAGATGCGGCCCACACAATTATTAACTTCGATAGCAATTATATAATCCTGCTTTACAATCCACAGCTCCTAGTACAACAGATATTCTTAAAATCACAGTCAGAAGGTTTATTGCTGCTACGCCAGAAAGCACTGTAACATCTTGTTAATCTTACATATTTTGGATGACAGTCCTTCCTGCTTCTCTGCTTTTGTTTTGTTTTTAATGGTGTTTATGCTCTATTTATTTTTATACCTCTTCCCATGGCTTGACTAGAGTTTCAAATCTGTAAGAATTGATAAAATGATACCAAGTTATTAGGGTATCTGTGTGCTAGTTGCTCATACCAGAGACATATGATATGAAATGCTGGAAACTACAGACATCCCTTCTTATCCAACTTCAAAAAAACCCGTTTCTCTTTAAATACAGTTAATTACAGTAGCTGAAGGGGAAATGCCAGTGACCAGCATTGTGCAATCTGGGCTGACTGTAGCTCAGTCACATTTCTTATTGTGTCCTTGTTTCCTGCAAGTTACCCCAAATCTATTGTCAGTGCTTGTTGATTCAGTATCTGGGGTGCAGCAAGTGATTTTCAAAGTAAAAAAATCACAGTGATTGCCACATGGTGGTGCCATCTATCCTTGTTCGGTTCCCACTACCCAGGCTCTGTGGCTCACAAGCTGAGATGCACGCGTGTGTGCACACGTGCTCATACACCCTTGGCCAGAATGAGCCCGTTTCCCCCAGGATAACCCAGCCTGCAGATGCGTGTTTGTCCACAAGAAGGAACACAAGGCTAGATTTAAAAACACAGCAAACCATGAGAATGCACAGGGCACTAGGTACAACCAGAGAACCTGTGGCAGATTTCAATGTGTTCCTGGGAGAAGATGGTGCTTTAGCTCTTCCTTGGGCTGGGGGCTGGGGGCTGGGGGGGGGGGCGGATTCTGCCTTCCTGTGGGGCAGAACCAGATTGGAGTCAGGAGCATGTGCTACTAAGCACTGGCAACCTGCTTGAAGCAAGCTCAGCCTCGGACCCTGGAATAGTCTCCCTGAGCCGAGCCATGTCATCATTAGGCCCACCAGAGGAAACAGAGGGAGGTAGCTGTATCTTTTACCCTGTGGGGTGGAGGAAAGTTTATAAAAGCAGTGCGGAGGAATGTGTGTTGCTCTTCATAAATTTTCCCAGTGTTCCTGCTGCCGCTCTGGTCAAATTTGGTGCATTTCCCACCCTCCTGTACCTGTTCTATGATAGAAATAAAGCATGCTGGGAAAGCCAGTGCTGTTCAGCAGCTTGTGCCATTTGGCCCTCACTTTGCATGGGACACGATGTGGTGCAGGCTCCTTGTGACCTGGCTGGGCCCCCCTGAACTGACATGGGGCTCTGGAGGCCCCTGCACTAGTCTTGGGGGCTCCCCACTCAGATTTGTGCCTGGTAGTGACCGTTGCCACTGAGCCTGCTAGCTGTGGAGAAACATTTTGCCTGCCACACCAGTATGCCCCAGCCCTGCCTCATACCTCTTTTTGGCTTGGTTTGCGCTCCCCAGAGAGGTCCACCTGGCGCTGTCGTTATTTGTTTTTCGGTGCCAGGCGAAGACCTTTTTATTTAAGCGTCATTTTAATTGTTAATATTATTTGCTTATTTTATCTGGCCAGGGCAACTTATTTTATATTGTTATTTCTTGTATTTTAATTTTATGTTGTGAGCCGCCCTGAGGCTTCGGCGAATGGGGCGGCATAGAAATGTTTTAATAAATAAATAAATAAATAAAATCTGTAAACCAAAGGTATCATAATGATACCTGGCAGACAATGTTAACTTAGGCAGGCCTTAATTTGTGGCAATGCTCAGCTCAGGATCTGTTTCCAATAGCAAGGTTCCTGCTACTAATTTTTTACTATTTCTGTGCTCCCTTTCTCCTACACCTATAGGCTGTGTTTCTGAGCATGTTTGGAGTATATTTTCTATTCTATGTCATCCCTACATATCCAGGACATCCGGAACTGCCTTCCCCAACCTGAGGCCTCTGAATGGGACCACAACTCCCAGCATCCCTGTCCAACGGTCATGCTGGTTGGTGCTGATAGGCATCGAAGGGCTGCAGATTGAGAAGGCTGCTGCAGAGCTTCCTAATTTAGAAATGAGCTTGGCGTGGGGCACAAGTGTCACAGTCCACCTATTTTTAAGCACCTTTCAGGGCCCATCGATTTTTGCAGCAAAGCTAAGCGTGTGCTTGAAGCTCTCCCACTAAAGTCAATGGGACTTGAAAGGCAGCCCAGCATAAGCAATGCGTAACATGCCTAGTCTTTGCTTTGGGTGAGAGTTGGCTATAAATAAATATGCCTTTGCTTATGGAATGCATTTCCATGGGGACGTTGAGAAGGCCAGCAGCAAATAGCTAGTGTTATTTTACGGAGTGTTGTGTGGCAACTCCAGCGCTGCTCGCACCTATTGCAAGCCCAGTACGTGTGTTTCCAACCCGCCTCGCTTTCCACCAGGGCAAGTTTTCGCTGCTGAGCGGCATGCGGATCTGCTGCAGCCTTTGTTTGCGTTCGTTTGCAGCTGCCCTCTTTCCTTTCTCGCCCAGTATGTTCAGCAAACACATCTAGGTGGAGGACTGGTGGTAGTGATGTTTAATTAACTGGGGGACAGAGTGTGTTAGGCTGGCTATTGTTCCATTTCAATGGATCCACCCTGGCGATGACACTAGACGCTGCAGGGAGCACTAGAGGCTAGAAGCGCCAGGGGAGAAATAACCCCCTGACAGAGGAGGCAAGATGGGTCTTTGAAGCAGAGGTTGTGTTCAGGGGCAGTGCTGCTTACCTGGCATATCCACAGCGCTGGCCCATAGGACCAAAAAGATTGCAGCTCATGCTCGTGCCAAGTTCCATAGGTAAGTATGTGTACATAATTAGAAATAATTACTATCATCTGAATTTTACAGAAGGCAAGGTAATTCACCTCTTGCTTGCTTTTGCGACAGAAATGTAGGTGCCCAAAGAGTGCCCACGTAAAACCTACCTGGCAGGTGCCCACACACTTCCTTGCTTTTCAGGCCCAAAGCAAGAGGGGGTGGTTGGGGCTTCCGGACTGCGCAAACAGCTGAATGGCACATTAAACATTTACTTGCAAACCAGGCAGGACACACTGGCAGGAAGGAGTGTGGGAAGATACGCTACACTAGAATAACCCATTCCCTTTGGCTGAGGTTTGTGCAATTACTAGGAAGGCACCCCCATTAAACAAAAGGGGATTTACTTCTGAGTAAATCCTCCTTTGCTCTTCCCATTTTGCCCCATCATCAGCAGGCACAGCAGCACAGGACAGACACTGGGGGACAGGACTGGGGGACAGGGCTTTGTTGTTCTGTAACCAGGTGAGGCACCAGGAGAGCCACAGCCCAAGGTGGCACTTCACTTTATTTAAAAAAACAATTTTTATCATTTCTGGGATTCTCCCAACATAGTTTTTGGGTTCCAGTTTCTTGAAATGCTAAAATCTTCAGCTAATGTTGCAATAAGTGTCTAGTGATCTTCTTATTCTACAACTTTTAAAAGTACCAAAATACATAATTGGATCCCCTTGTTTGGACCAGTCCAAACATCTAATAAAGGTATTGTCTAGCTGTGGATCTTGGATTTGTCGTGTACCAGCATGGCTACCATTGTTTTGTTTTTTTTCTTTTAAATTTCCAAAGCTTATAAATCCCCAAGTTTTCCTCTAAATTCAGATATTGGACTATCTTCTGGGTGGAAACCTCAAGTTTCAGTTTTGTGCAAATTTAATAAGGTGTAGCACTCCAGTCGTACAAATATTTACCTGGAGATACATTCCATTTAGCTCATTATGATTTATTTCTATGTAAATGTGTTTAGGATTACACATTCTGACATAATCCTGAACATGTTTCCCATCTGCAGATTTACCTGTATGCCCAGCTGTTTCACTACCTCAAATCTCAACTACTCTTTCCTGCTCCAGAAGTCTCTCTAGCCATGTCCAGGGCTGCTCCCGAAACATTTTGTTGCCCGAGGCAGAGCAGCAAATGATGCCTTCCTTGCACCCTTCCCCTCTCAAGGTACATCATAGTACTCAAAGCCAGTTGTTTTGGTCCTTGAGCCAAAAAATCTTACAATTTCCCCTTTCCTAGCAGTGAAAATGCAACAACAATATAGTAATTTAAAAGGACAGAGAACATTTGATTAAAAAAAAAAAAACCTCTGGCAGAAAGAGTCAAGAGAGGCAGCAGGAGGGGAAGCACTTGTGGGCAAAAAGCCTTTATTTCAGCTACTGCCCTTTCCCCCCAGTTACACTAAAGCAACATTTTTCAAAATAACCATCTGCACAGCGGATTCCTGTCTCTGAAAGCTTGTTATACCCAAGCGAACGTGTGAGTCTTTAATGTGCCCAAGGCGTTCAGTCTTTTGAGCACAAAGAGCAAGGAGTCCCTGTCGTCCGCTCACTTCTATTCACCTTTCTCTAGCCTAGTGAAAACCCCTGAGGCTGAGAGGAACTGTGCACCCCTCAGGATCTGGCCACATGGGTCATGCAAGGAACGGTGCACTGCAGAAAGAGGACCACAGAGCCAAGGGGCCCTCACCACACCCACCCACCCAGCCAAGCACGTGGTGCGCCCTTACATTACCGTGCCCCAGGCTTAGACATGGCTCCCTGCTGGAGCCCTCTTTGCCTCAAGGCACGGGGCCCGGGCCAGCTTGGAGGAAGGCCTCTGGCACTCCATTCAGATGTGGGTGGCCAGTGCGCCTACTCTTCCTCTAGCCGGGGCATCGCTGCCTACAGCAGGTGCCAGGCCCAAGGGAAGTGGCCCAGGAGCACTCACTTGGGCAGGTCTCTGAAGAGTCAGGCACACTCCAAGAAAGCCAGGTGAAGGTGGCGTGTTATTTAGTATATTTATATCCCATCTTTTTTCAAGGAACTCAAGGCAGCTTAGTTTTCTTCCTCTGTTTAAT